GCCATAACAATCCCAGCACTTTGGGAGGTGAGGCAGGCAGATCACTTGAGGTCAGTTCTAAACCAGCCTGGCCAAGCGTGGTGAAACCCTGCGTGTCTGCTAAAAATACACAAATTTTCCCAGTGTGGTGGCGGGTGCCTGTAATCCCAGCTATTCGGGAGGCTGAGGCAGAATTGAATCAGGAGACGGAGGTTGCAGTGAATACCAGGTGCGCCATTACACTCCCAGCCTGGGTGACAAAGTGAGACTCCGTCTCAAAAGAAAAATTCAAGGGCAAGTCATGAAGTGAAAGCCAGTTTATTAGGAAAAAATGGCTATTCCTTAGGCATGAAGAGCAACCCCAAGGCTGCTGGTTACTTATTTTATGGTTATTTCTTGATGATATATACCAAACAAGGAGTGGATTATTCTTATCCCCATTTTAGACCATATAGAGGTAACCTACTGTCTTATGCAGTAGTTTGTAAACTGTCATGGTACTGATGGGGTGTAGCAGTGAGGACAACCAGAGGAGTCCTCTGTAAGTAGCCATCCTGATTTGATGATTGGCATTTCATGCTGCAACTGGCTTTTATCAGCATGGGTCTTTATGTGGCAGTCATGTCCCCTTGTGACCTCCCTATCTCATCCTGCCCAAACTTGAGATGCTAACATCCTATGGGAATGCAGCCATTTAGATCTCAACCTCATTTACCCAGCCTCTATACAAGATGGAGTCGCTCTGGTTCATAGCGCCTCGGACACGGCTTAACTTAGGTACTAAAAGCTGTTACAAGCATACTGCCACTGAGTTTTGCCTGCAAGCAATCTGCAAATTCTAGATTGCCCCACCTGAAGAGAAAAAAGTAAAAGCACCCCAAAGATTCTGAACAGAAAGAGCAAAATGACTCCAGCTGAGAAGCAGAAGAATAAAATCAACCAGGAGGATGCTTCATGTGTGAGGTAGAAAATTGGACAGTATTTTTACCCATGTAAAGGAAATGCAGTCTTTTGAAAAAAGGAGCGAGAGGTCATTTTGTATTTTAATAAAAGGGGCAGTTCCTTCTTCCACTTACCTGCTTCAGGAACCAACAGCAAAGAGCTGGCCTTGTTTTTGTAACCTGCATTGCAGGTTTTTGATACACCGCTTTAATCAAGGCCAAAGATTAAGAGATCCCACCCCTGTCCAGTCAATCTTGAGAGGGCAAGTGTCTAGTTCTTACCTCATCTACCCACACCTGGAACCTGTTGTGGTATGGACAGTTGAAACAGTAACTTGTTCCTCACGCAACAATCTAGCAATACTCCAAAAGAACACAGTAATACTTTTTCATTATTTAATTAATTTATTTTTCAAAATTATGATTTTGCTCTCTAAGCTATGAGCTGGGAGTGTGTGGCACAATCTTGGCTCACTGCAACCTCCATCCAGGGTTCAAATAATTCTCCTCCTCCTTCCCAGGTAGCTGGGATTACAGGCGTACTTCCACATGCCTGGCTAATTTGTATTTTTTTTTTTGTAAAAATGGGGTTCTCCTGTTGGTCAGGCACAGTCTTGAACTCCCGACCTCAGGTGATCTGCCGCCTCAAAGGCTTCCCAAAGTGCTGGGACATTACAGGTGCCAAACCACAGCGCTGCAGCCTGGCCCAGTATCTTTTTAAGGCCAGGCTCCACCAGGCAGTTCATGCTGGCTCAAACCTGTGAATCCCAGCACTGGGAGCCAGGGTGGCGAGATCACGGAGTCAGGAGTTCGAGACCCAGCCTGACAACGTAAATCCGTCTAAAAACTCCTAAAGTCTTGGGCGTGATCTTTTATACCTGTAATCCAGCTACCTCCAGGAGGCTGAGGCAGGAAATCGCCTTATTTCGGGAGGCAGAGGTTGTGGTGAGCCAAGATCGAACCACCGTGTACTCTGGGCAACAAACAAAACTCCTCTCAAAACAAAAAAACAGAAAAAGTCAGTGCTTTTATGAGCTTTTGACAAGGAGGCAGTACAGCAGTTAAAACATGCCTGAATATATGGGGAATTAGAGGAATCTGGTTTAAATTTTATATAGGTTGTATCAACTGTGTGTTTTAGTTATGTGTGTATTTATTTTTGTTATTTCCTCTAAACAATGAGGTTCTTTCAATGCCTATCAATGTGGTGATTGTGAAAATGGGATAATGCTAAAAATACCTTAACATGATGTCTGGTAGATGGCAAAGAGGTAACTATTAAGATACCTCTAGTATTCTGAGTAGCTCTACTAATGCAATACTTGCTTGAGGACATTTAAACAACTACTGCTGTGATGTAAGGAATAGTCAAATCTTTAGTTGAACACACTCGCCTCTCAAGAACCACTTCTGGAATGTGACAAGTTCCTTTAGCCTCTCTCTGCCTCCCTTTCCCTTGCTTTCCAAAGTGTTGATAATGATTTGCTTAGGCAGAAATGCTGGCGAAATCAGGTTAAAAACACTATGTAAACAACTGTAAAGTTACCTTTGTTTGAACTTAAGCTGAAAGAAACCAAAAGTATTTTAAATTTTATTCTATTTCTAGCACATTCTGTGAAGACTTTAAAAAGAAATTTCTCTCTTTATAATTTTCCTTTCCTTTATTCTTTACAGAACAGTAAATCAGTTACTCAAGTTCTCAAAAATGAAAACTATATCTGGAATGTTTCTGTTTTGCTCCCCCTGTTGGCCTGAAAGCAGGATAACACTGCCTGAGACTAACAATTCAAGACAATCTAAACATTTATTTTCATGGACTTGACTAACATAAAGACGTAATGGCATTCCACAGAAAGGAGCCTAAACCACAGTTTCGGCACTCTATCTTATATATATATATCAATAATTAAAAGCAATATTATATCTAATTATTAATTTTTTAACTATTAAAGGTTTCAAATCTAGAAAAATTATACAAAGGCTAAGCTACATGCCATTCATTTTTCAAAATATTATTACTTTTTCAAAAAATTCTGCTGTTCCTATATTTAAGGCTGAAATCCACTGAAAGCACCCAAACTTGCAACTCCCCTATATATCATTATTTTTGTTTTGCTACCACTAATTTTTACAATTTTTTTTTTTTTTCTTTTTGAGACGGAGTTTTGTTCTTGTTGCCCAGGCTGGAGTGCAGTGGCATGATCTCGGCTCACGCAACCTCTGCCTCCCAGGTTTACGATGATTCTCCTGCCTCAGCCTCCAAGTAGCCGGGATTACAGGTATGTACCACCCACACCTGGCTAATTTTTGTATTTTTAGTAGAGATGGGGTTTGCCATGTTGCGTGAGGCTAGTCTTGAACTCCAGACCTCAGGTGATCAACCATCTTGGCCTCCCAAAGTGCTGGGATTACAGGCATGCAGGCCCCACCACCCGCCTGGCAAGCAGAAGATTTACTTTTACACTTAAAAGAGATTATGCTCCCACTGTGCTTAGGTAGAGGTGCAAACCTTTGTAATCCCAGCACTTTGGGAGGCTGAGGCAGGCAGATCGCCTGAGGTCAGGAGTTCAAGGAGAATTAGCTGACACGTGGTGGAAACCTCGTCTCTACTAAAAGTAAAGTTAGTTGGAGTATGGTGGCTGCCTTACCATAATCCCAGCTACTCGGGGAGACTGAGGCAGGAGAATTGCTTCAAACCCGGGAGGCAGAGGTTGGCAGCCCAGGCCGAGATCATTCCACTGCACTCCAGCCTGGGCAACAAGAGTGAAACTCAAGTCTCAAAAGAAATCCACAACAAAACAAAACAAAATTTCTCCCCACTATTTTTACCTATGAATCACTTTTTGTATTCAAAGTGTGGGTGTATACTGAAAACTATTAATTTATTAAACCTCTGTACACAAGATACTTATACCTGTACAACAACCATATATGAAGAGATAAGTTACAAAAGAAGTAAAAGTACACTAAAATTGGCGCATGTAAATCACTTATAAAAATACCCCAAAGCGGGATAAGCTGCTCATCCCTGATTTTTCTCATTTGGTTGTAGGAGTTGAAACATGAATTTAAAATGGTAGAATTTTTTCTTTTAAAAAGTGATATATTAAACTTATATACAGGATAATTAGCAAAATGTAGAAAGGGAAAACAATACAAAGATAAGAAAACCATCCACTCTGTGAGACGGAAGTCCACAATCCAAAAACTAGTATAAACCTTAACAAACTCTCTCTAAACCAAATTAATGTCATCTCCCCCAAGTTTTGTCAATTAAAGAATAAAATATAATAGTAAGAACTAGTAGGCTCAGTCTTTCTTTAAAATAGGCTTAGCTTTGCTGGAACCACGAACCTTGGATTGAATTTTCTAAATGGGAGGTACAAACAGGAAAACCATTCTATCTCTCCATGAGTGGTACTAGTCACGGAACAAAGTTATTAAATAAAGCTCTCAGTGCTAAGTCAAGCCGTTATTCAGGAGAAATTTTTGTTTTTCTGCTGGTTTGGGTGAGTTCTTTAACAAACTAACTTATCTGGGTGCAGAACTCCCAGTAGATTCTGCCATATTCTCAAATTCAAATGGGCGTGATTCCAGTTACCGGAGTGCTCATGTCAGGTAGAATATGAATTTTGCAAGTGGCCGTTGAAGGACTGGGTGTCTGCAGGAAAGAGCTTCGGCTGTCCCCATTGCCTAACGTCAGTCACAATTCTTGCTGCACGCCATTAAGTCGAGAGAGGCACCTTCAGGGTTTCTTTCTGAACCAACTCTGCCTTTTCCTTCTGACAAAGTGATGTCACCTCAGCATGGTTGTGGGCATGTCAGCTTCTGACTTCTTTGTAAAAATTTCTGGTACCTCAGGCTCATCCAGCATCTGCTTTTCAGATGTTTTCCCTCTGGGACAGGGAGGTCCAGCTCCCATTTGGACCAAGGTGATGAGGCAGATTCCCCGGTTAAAGGAGTGTGAATCACAGGAATGTCAGAGTAACTGTTTACACTCTCAGCCTGCTCGAGAGCTGCCCAGATCCGCCTCTGCTGTTCTTCAAGTTCTTCTAGAGTCAGTGCGTCCTCATCCACAGCTCAGATGCTGTTCTGGTCTGGGAGTGAGTGCACAGAGTCAGCAGCCAAGGTGCCCTTGGGAGTGGAGGGGGGTGAAGACGGGGCGGAGGAGTTCCCGGAGGTGGAGGGGAGTGTCAGGGAGGTAGTGGTGGTTGGAAACTGAAAAGGTTCGCTCTCAAGAGAACCATGTGGTACCTCCACATCTGAAGTAAGAAAGTTAAGAGATACTTTAGAACTTGTAATAGCATCTGGTTTTACTAAAATTTGTTATTTGAACTCAGGTGTATCCAGATATTCAATGGCCAAAAATAACTGGCTTAAGAGGCGGGACATTCTGGATTCTCAGGTGCCATGACCATTACCTGGTGTCCTCCAGTCCACCTGAAAAAAAAAGATCTGGGGAGACCTGTCAGGTTCTTCTGGTGCTAGAGGATATCCCTCGGAGATCCATTTCTGGCATGCTGTGTGCATCGTTTTAGATTGAGGGAAATATGAGCAATTGCATGGGGCTTCAGAATTTCAAGGTAGTGCGCTCTACCCCAAGAGTTCATGGCAGATACAGTAGGAGAATGACTGGAGGTGTTGGGCCTTGGCTACTGAGTGGGTGGAAAGCTAATGGGGGAGGAAGTAGGGGAGCAAGCCAAGTGGCACACCTTGGGATTTATTTCCTAGCTTTTTCTTTTTTTTTGAGACGGAGTCTTGCTCCCTGTCTCCCAGGCCTGGAGTGCAGTGGCACAATCTCAGCTCACTGCATCCTTGAGACAGAGTCTTGCTCTGTCTCCCAGGCTGGAGTGCAGTGGCACAATCTCAGCTCACTGCATCCCCCGCCTCCCGGTCAAGTGATTCTCCTGCCTCAGCCTCCGGAGTAGCTGGGATTACAGTTGTGTGCCACTACGCCTGGCAAATTTTTGTATTTTTAGTAGAGATGAGGTTTCAACATGTTGGCTAGGCTGGTCTCGAACTCCTGACCTCAGGTGATCCACCTGCCTTGGCCTCCCAAAGTGCTGGGATTATAGGCGTGAGCCACTGCGCCCAGCCTAATTCCCCAATTCTTCTTTTTTTTTTTGAGGCGGAGTCTTGCTCTGTTGCCCAGGCTGGAGTGCAGTGGCGTGAGGTCAGCTGGCTGCAACCTCTGCCTCCTGGGTTCAAGCAGTTCTCCTGCCTCATCCTCTCAAGTAGCTGGGATTACACTGCACGCCAACATGTTTGGCTAATTTTTTGTATTTTTAGTAGAGATGGGGTTTCACCATGTGGGCCAGGCTGATTTCGAACTCCTCACCTCAAGTGATCCGCCTACCTCGGCCTCCCAAAGTGCTGAGATTACAGGCGTGAGCCACTCACTGTGCCTGGCCCCCAATTCTTATCTCTAATCTAGACTGCTCGCCTGAACTGCAGGTTCACCTATCTTAACTGCCCACTGACTATCATCACCTATACGTTCTACAGACACAACCTGTTCAAAACAAATGATCTCTTCCTAAAATGAGGACTATTCTCCCATCTGCTATTCTCACTAATGGCACCACCAGTGGATCTGCTTGTCATTTGAGAGTACTCTCTTTCCTTCCATCCATCCCCCAGGTCTTTGGCTCTTTGGGGTGCATGCTCTCCTGGTGGCTGTCATAGCCACTACCTTGCTTCAGGCCCATTACCATTTGCCAGGAACATCAGAATCACCCCTACCTCTGGATTCATCTTCCTTGTGTCTGTCCTCCAAACCGCTGCCAGAGTCATCACAAGTCTGGCCCTATAACCCTTCCCATCTCCACTGGAAACCCTTTAGTGCCTGCCCAGACCCCACACGATGAAGTCCAATCTTCCTCCATGGCCCTCTAGGATACAGTTTCCCTACTTCCATCATATCACCTCCTACTGCCTGGCTCAAACTCCAGCTGTCACCCTGCTGCTGGCCTGATGTGCTGTGAAGTTTCACTGTCCTGCATCTGTACTTCCCACTGTCTCAAATGCCCTCCTCCTCATTTCCTTGGCAAATCTCTGCATTCTTCCCTCAACAAGCAGTTCAGAGTTACCCTATGACTTCATTCAGCACAGATGCTGTTTTTCCTCTGTGCCACCATTACAGTCTGGAACCTGCTCTGTGGCAGCAATATGTAATACTATTGTTCTGTAGGTATCACTGTGGGCCACCACATTTATATGAGAATGATGTTTACACATCTGCAATCCCGAGGTGACAGAGAGTGGTAACTAGGGCAGCAATACTGTCTTATTAAGCTTTCTGTCCTCAGGGTCTAGTAGGGGGTCTGAACTTTATAGACAATAAGATTTGTGAGGAGAATAACATACTCTCACTTAGAAGTCAACTCATGGCCCAGCATGGTGGCTCATGCCAGTAACATTGGGAGGCTGAGGCAGGCAGGTTGCTTAAACTCAGGAGTTCAAGACCAGCCTGGGCAACAAAGTAAGACCTCGGTCTCTACAAAACATACAAAAATTAGCTGGGCTTGGTGGCGCAGGCCTATGGTTCCAGCTACATGGGAGGCTGAGGTGGGAGGACTGCTTGATCCCAGGAGTCTGAGGCTGCAGTGAGCCATGATCGTACCACTGCACTCCAGCCTGGGCAACCAAGCCAGACCCTGTCTCAAAAAAAAAAAAAAAAAAAAGAGGAAAGAGCCCCTAGCACAAAGTTGAAAATGCCTACACAGAAGTGTGTGGCCCTGGTGACAGGGGTGCCACCACCACAAATCCCCAAACTTCAAAAAATGACAACCATGGGCCAGTGCTGTGGCTCACACCTATAATCCCAGCACCTTGGGAGGTGGAGGCGGGCAGTTCACCTGAGGTCAGGAGTTCGAGACCAGCCTGGCCAACATGGAGAAACCCCATCTCTACTAAAAATATAAAATTAGCCAGGCGTGGTGGTGGGCACCTGTAATCCTAGGTACTTGGGAGGCTGAGGCAGGATAATTGCTTGAACCCAGGAGGCGGAGGTTGCAGTGAGCCAAGATCGCGCCACTGTACTCCAGCCTGGGCGACAGCAAAACTCTGTCTCGAAAAAAAAAAAACTGAAACAAACAAACAAACAAAACTTAGGGGAAATAATTTGAGCACTTTGATTCTGAACTTTGAAGTTACTTTGTGCAAAAGAATTTGATGTGAGGATTTAATCCCTTTGAACTTTAAGGGAATTTAATTCATGATCCTTTTTTTTTTTTTTTTTTTAAAGGAAAGGAAAAAAGGGAGGGGTTTTCAATTTTGAATTGGGTAAATTTTCATGTTCCCATCACATCTTTTTTTTTTTTAATTTTGAAATGGAGTATTGCTCTGTTCCCCAGGCTGGAGTGCAGTGGTGCAATCTTGGCTCACTGCAACCTCTGCCTCCTGGGTTCAAGTGATTCTCCTGCCTCAGCCTCCCAAGTAGCTGGGATTACAGGCAGGTGCCACCATGCCCAGTTAATTTTTGTATTTTTAGTAGAGACAGGGTTTCACTATGTTGGTCAGGCTGGTCTTGAACTCCTGACCTCAGGTGATCTACCCGCCTCGGCCTCCCAAAGTGCTGAGATTACAGGCGTGAGCCACTGCGCCCGGCCAGCAAAACCCCATTTCTACTAAAAATACAAAAATTAGCCGGGTGTGGTGGTGCATGTCTGTAGTCTAGCTACTTGGGAGGCTGAGACAGGAGAATCACTTGAACCCGGGAGGCAGAGCTTGCAGTAGGCCGAGATTGTGCCACTGAACTCCAGCCAGGGTAACCAGGCAAGACTCTGCCTCAAAAAAAAAAAAAAGCTAGGGAAGTCTCAGACAGCAAGCCCTTTGTCCTACTTTATGTTCTGGGAAGGCACATTTTCCTGATGGCCTGTCTTTCTTGGGTAGAGGAGTGATCTACTGGATTAATACTATTGGAAAGAATAACTGGGAAAGCTTGGCCCAGCTTCGCTCTTCTTCCTCTTGGGAGCAAGCTGCCAGAAGGGTACACACTTTCCAGTGCCTGTCTCAGAACACTGGCCGGATCAAAGGCGCCAGTCTGGATGCAGCACTGTTGAGACTGGGTGGGTCTGCTAATCCAGGAATGGGCCACTGTGGCTCACACCTATAATCCCAGCACATAGGGAAGCAAAGGCAGGACCACTGCTTGAGCACGGGAGTTTGAGACCTGCCTGGACAATACAGTGAGACCCCATTCTACACAAAAAGGAAAAAAAAAAAAAAAGGAACTCCTCTAATTCAGGAATGCAGCCAGCTGGCCCATCTAGCTCTCACACCAAGCTCTGGCTTCCAATTCAGCTTTTATCACGGACAGCAGTGATGCTCTGATCTCCAAGAATAAAATAAAGATTTACTCTTTAGACAGTGCTCACAAAGGAGCTTCCCCTTTCTTACAGAATTCAGGAGCACACAAATGTGTCATAGCTTCTTAATGAAATCAAAGCTACAGGCCGGGCGCGGTGGCTTACACCTGTAATCCCAGCACTTTGGGAGGCCAAGGCGGGTGGATAACGAGGTCAGGAGATCAAGACCATCCTAGCTAACATGGTGAAACCCCGTCTCTACTAAAAATTAGCCTGGCGTGGTGGTGGGCACCTATAGTCCCAGCTACTACAGAGGCTGAGGCAGGAGAATGGCATGAACACAGGAGGCGGAGGTTGCAGTGAGCCAAGATTGCGCCACTGCACTCCAGCCTTCGTGAAAGAGCGAGACTCTGTCTCAAAAAAAAAAAAAAAAAAAAGAGGAAAAAAAGAGAAATCAGAGCCATAAGATGAAACCTACCCGAATCGAGCTCCATGTCGGCCAGGGATCCTGCTGAGTTGCTTTCCTTCTTCTGCTTCTTTGGACTACCTGGGCTAGAGTGAGATGAAGACCTCTTGCTGCCAGACTTCACACCTGGCTAAAGGAGCAACCAAACCAAACACAAGTTAGGTGGGGTAGACAATGAATTAAACTCCATCCCTTCACTTAAAATGATGTAGAAAAGCAATCTGTAGATAAGTCTAGGTAACTGGTGAATTTCGCCACTGTTTTCCTTTTGGTTTGTCAAGATAACAAAGCAAGAAAAGGCTGTAATATGCTAAGAAATTACAAAATCTCACAGACACAACAACATTTTATAGAGTACACCCTTAAAATCTATTTACCGTTTGGAAGTTAGAAGTAAGGTAATTGGCAAACACATCCTTCTGCTGACATGCCTGCATTGGTATGGAACCAAAGATCCTCCATTCCTAATAATGAAAAGAGAAGAAAAAAAAAAAATCATGTATTTGGAAAATGTCATGTTTTGAGATTTTGCTCAAAGGAGGTACAGCAGAGATCTCAAATTACATTTTTCCTTCTTATGTTACTTTTCCTTTATTGGGAATTAAGGAAAATAATGATGTGTTGAAGGAAAACTAAACCTGCCTGCAACATAATTAAGACCATGAATACTAAAAGACTACCTGACACAATCACTTGGTCAAAAAAGGTTCTACATACCGCAAACAAGCAGAAAATGTAGGCAGGAGTGACTGCTATGGGGCCTCCCAGGCTCCAGTCTCTCTCCCATCAAGCACTGGCGCTGTTAACAGGGTCGTTCATAGCCCACTTCTCCTAACACACTTACTCATGAGTTTTCTATCTTCTGCTCTTTCTCTTTCCAAATACAGCACTCATCTTTAAAGATTCCATACCGCTTATTTCTCTCTCCTCTCCAATCGCACATTCAACAGTGGTTCTCAGTAAGAATCCCATGGGACTCTTGTGAAACATAGAGCTTCCAGGGTTTGAATCAGTTAAGTCTAAAGACGGGACTCAAGAATGTACATTTCTAACGAGTATTCCCAGGGGACTGTGAAGTAGACTGGAAGCTGCACTGGCTTCCAGAAGCACTGATGGTTTGTATCGTGCACTTCTGCCCGTAATGAATTACACAGTCTTGTGTGATTGACAACTTTCTATCTGCTCACTACACTCTTAACTTCAAGTCTTTGGCTGTTTCCCTACTGTCCAGTTCCTAAGAACACACTTTTTATTTTTATGTTTTTTTGAGATGGAGTTTCGCTTTCATCACTCAGACTAAAGTGCAATGGCGTGATCTCAGCTCACTGCAACCTCCACCTCCTGGGTTCAAGCGATTCTTCTGCCTCAGCCTCCTGAGTAGCTGGGATTACAGGCGCCTGCCACCACGCCCGGCTAATTTTTATACTTTTAGTAGAGATGGGATTTTGCCGTATTGGCCAGGCTGGTTTCCAACTCCTGAGCTCAAGTGATCCACCTGCCTTGGCCTCCCAAAGTGCTGGGATTACAGGCATGGGCCACTGCACCTGGCCAATAATACACTTTTTAAACAAAACAGTACAATAGTTCATTGTTGAATCTTGAGACCTAAGATGGAAGCTGGAAAAGAGTTAAGTGTGGAAAAACCATTCATATACAAAATGAGAAATTTTACTTTGAGGGGAAAAAAGGCAAGAATAAACAGGAAAAAGAGTTATAGTATATTTAGATTTATTATAGATAGAAACTTATTTCCTAGGTTAGTTCTGTAAAATATATAATACTGTCTCAGAACAATCCATATTGTTAAAAACTTTTAAAATGTTAGAGTAGTTTTAGATTTAGAGACTCTAACCAATCTATTTTGGCTCCCTTTTTGAGGGCACAAAATCAGAGAAAACTGCTGTTGATGAATGTAAGACTTCAATTAAGATTCTAGCAAGATTCTATAAAGGAAATTAAAAATGTAAACAAGTGGCCGGGTGCGGTGGCTCACGACTGTAATCCCAGCACTTTGGGAGGCCGAGGTGGGCAGATCATGAGGTCAAGAGATCGAGACCATCCTGGTTAACATGGTGAAACCCCATCTCTACTAAAAATACAAAAAATTAGCCGGACGTGGTGGCGGGCGCCTGTAATCCCAGCTACTCGGGAGGCTGAGGCAGAAGACTGGCGTGAACCCGGGAGACGGAGGTTGCAGTGAGCTGAGATCGCGCCACTGCACCCCAGCCTGGGCGATAGAGCGAGACGCAATCTCAAAAAAAAAAGTAAACAAGTAACGCATTTATCCCTTTAAATAGTAACTACTATATAAGTTTGTATGTATATATGAATTAAGTAATTATTTTTTGAGTCAGGGTCTCGTGTGATCTCACCTCACTGTAACCTCTGCAATCCTCCCACCCCAGCCTCTCTAATAGCCAGGACTACAGGCATGTGCCGCCACCCTTGGCTAGTTTTAAAATTTTTTGTAGGGACAAAGTCTTGCTATGTTGCCCAGGCTGGGCTTGAACTCTGAGGCTCAAGCAATCATCTTGCCTCGGACTCGCAAAGTGTTGGGATTACAGGTATGAGCCACCATGCCTAGCCAACAAGTTAATATTCTGACCAATCTTTAACATAATAATATCACATCACATGATAATTAAAAAAAATAAATATACTTACATCTGGAATTCCTCTGGGAGTAGATATATTAAAACCAGGATAGTTGACCAATTTTGAGAGATCATAAGTGACACTTTTATTCTGCTGTATTTCTCCAATTTCTGTTTCCCCATCAGTGCTATCTATTACAGACCATAAAAAGTGTTAATATTGCTAAATGTCAATATATATCCCTCCCCAGACCAAAAGTACACCTGGAAAGTGCTTATACTCATGGCAACAGAATTAGTTTTGAAATGGCTTTCAATTTTAATTATAATTTTTCTTAACCATTAGGACAGAATTTTTTTTTTTTTTTGAGAAAGGGTCTTGCTTTGTCTCCCAGACTGGAGTGTAGTGGCACTATGTTGGCTCACTATAGCTTCTGCCTCTCAGGCTCAAGTGATCCTCCCACCTCAGCCTCCCGAATAGCTGGTTCTACACGCACGCACAACCACACCAGGGTAGGCTGTGTATTTTTAGTACAGACAGGGTTTCACCATGTTGCCCAGGCTGGTCTCAAACTCCTGAGCTCAGGCGATCTACCCACTGCCTCAGCCTCCCAAGTAGCTGGGATTACAGGCGCCCGCCACCACGCTTGGCTAATTTTTGTATTTTTAGTAGAGACCGGGTTTCACCATCTTGGCCAGGCTCGTCTTGAACTCCTGACCTCAAGTGATCCATCCACCTCGGCCTTCTAAAATCCTGGGACTACGGCCATGAGTCACTGTGCCCAGCCGAAACCTGCTTTTTAAAAACTCAATATTGCACAAAGATTTTGCCATGTCAGCTCATACAGATTTATTCCCACTCTTCATATGTTGCAGGGAGTCCACAGCTCAGAACTACCAATTTATTTAACCATTTTTCTTTAGGGCCTTAATGTTGTCTTAGATTTTTCACTATCATATTCAATGATACAAAAAGATTCTTGTATACATACAGTTTATTTTGCATATGTGTATCTTTCTAGAGTAGGTATCTAGGAGAGAAGTTCTAGACTATTAGAGGTTTTCTGTATTTCACATTTTACAGGTCTCCTGGCATTGAGGATCTATGTCTGTTATTATTACTGAGAAAGGTAAGAGCTTATGAGGACTGGCTGGAGAGTGATACTCTGGCCTAGACAGTACCTGAGCAAGCCCAGAAAACCATCAGATAATCTATGAACTCACTGAAATTTTAGTTCCTTCCTTGTAAAATTTACCAAGGAAACATCATCATGATATCTTTTAGTTACCACACATTAAAGAAGTCAGCCATTCCTATCACATTTTGTTGATTCTTTAATAAAAAAAAAAAAAGGAAACACTTAAGGTGACTTCTCTAACTTAAGATACTATACCTTTTCCATCATACAGTGCAAGCCCTGAATTCTCCAATTCAGCCTCTTTGAGCCACCCTGGTGGGTACCCTAGCTGACGCATCCGATAGATAAAAGGTGGAAGACTCTTGTCTGTCACACCTAGTGCATCTTGAAGTTCCTCACTAAGTAAAAATAAAGGAGGAAGAAAAATAATGAATTCTTGTTTGCATGAAAACACATACATAATATTCTGGGTTTTTTTGTTTTTTTTTTTTGAGACAGAGTCTCGCTCTGTCGCCCAGGCTGGAGTGCAGTGGCCGGATCTCAGCTCACTGCAAGCTCCGCCTCCCGGGTTTACGCCATTCTCCTGCCTCAGCCTCCCGAGTAGTTGGCACTACAGGCGCCTGCCACCTCACCCGGCAAGTTTTTTGTATTTTTTAGTAGAGACGGGGTTTCACTGTGTTAGCCAGGATGGTCTCGATCTTCTGACCTCGTGATCTGCCCATCTTGGCCTCCCAAAGTGCTGGGATTACAGGCTTGAGCCACCGCGCCCGGCCAATATTCTGGTATTTTAAAACATTTCTTGCTTATATTACATACCATGATGTCTAACAAATATAATTAAAATTTCAAGAAGTGTTTCTAAATGAATTAATGTATATTACCTAGGGCTTTGGCAGAGTACACTTATATCCTGATAATTACCCCGAAGAGACAGAGAACATTCGAAATGCTAGGGAAATAAAAATGACCTTCTATGGTAAAATGCCATTAATACCTAATAACTCCTGGCTTGAATCTTCCAAATCTTTCTTCTACTTCTTCTGTATGGTATCGCTGCTGGAAATTCTGATTGTTTGCTTCCCCACAGGCATCCATATACTCTTTTCTCTTTTCACTTATTCGAGCAGCATTCCGAGGCTACATCATGACACATTTGAAAAGAATGGTTTCATGCAACTCAGAAATATTTCAGAAACTAAATACTTTTTTTAGATCAAGTAAACAGATTATTTTAGTTTTAATGTATGACGAACAAGTGTAAAAGAGTGAATATTTTGGAAAAATAAGTAAGGAAAGGAGCAGTCTATTTATTACCTCAGTATTATAAATTAAATCAAGTTTTTAGGATAAACTCTACAATTTAACTGTTTATTCATATCAAATACAGAGAGTACTATTTTAAATTATTTACTAAAAAAATTTAATGTCTTAGAATATAAACACAAATTTGAAAAGATTTCGAATTAAAGGACTACAGGAAAGTAACAAAGAAAGTTCCTTCATGTCACACAATACCATAAATGTGTTGAAAACATTAGAAAGCTCTTGTTCAAAGACTTTTCTTAACATGAGAAAAATTTACCATTGGGCAATCTTTCATTTGGTGTTCTTCAGAACCACAATTGAAACAGTGAGGCTTTGGCCTATTTGGTCAAAAGACAAAGATTTTTATAATGTAAATAAAAATAGAAAAGCAAATCAATAAAATTCTATATGACAGCAAAGTGTATCAGAGAGATAAGAAAGCAAGTTCATCACAGATCACTAATATCTGCAACAAGAAGTACACTTTAATCTCTTGTATTTAGTGATTTAAATAGTACTATGCAGAGTCTTTTAACCAAGAACCCTTCTGTTCCTGACTGATCTGTTACCTCTTTTGAGTTTTTTCAGTGGTTAACAACAGAAGAATCGAGGTGAACAGATGATCATATTTCCATTAGGTAACATGGAAAGAAGGCAGATGGTTATAAGACTGCAATCAAATTGACAGCAACAATTACACTTTTCCACCCGCCCAGGCACATTAGGTGAGAACCAATGAATTCCAAGAAACAGATGATCCATTTAAACGTTTAATATATATGTATGGAATAAAATTCTAGCTCAATCTGTAATTAACCTTAGAGTAAACCAGCAGTAAAGAACATTAACTTTTCAAGCCAAAAGTTTATGATTTCCGTTAAAAAAGTAAATAAGTAAAACAAAACAACTCCCCACACAAACCTTTTTGCCTTTACTTGTATTTCTTGCCCTTCTAGAGAAACAATGTGGCTGAAGACTTGATGGTACCTTTAGTGAATTTTATTAAGGAATAGTTATCATGGTCTGCAAAATTTGGAAATTGTTTTAAAGGTGAACTTAGTGGTAAGATGCATAAAAGATCTTCATTCACTATGTAGGATACTTGGGTATTTCCCATCCTTCGGAAAGCTGAGGGTTTTCATTTAGAAGCGGTTGCCCCAATTTATCAAGGCAAAAATTAGTAAAATACAGGACACTTCCTACAACCTGCAGAAAACAAGTCAAAAAATATTGCTATTTAAGCAGGAAAAAAAGACATTAAATAATGTAAGACTATGATTAACTGTTTTAACAATTTATTTTGGATGGAATTCTTAAAAATAATAACTTCCTAGTTATTAAGGAGCCAGACTTTGATGTGTAAGTAGAAACTACATCGTCAGTTCCCTCTCTCTCCTAGATCACTGTTTTTCCTCTGTATTGGATCATGACTATCTCTCTCCAGAATTCAAACAAAAAATGAAAACCTTGACTCTCACGTTTCCTTCCGGTGCCCCATTTCATTGCTTCTCTTTGCAAGACATGCAGACCCTTTAGTTATTGTTTCCATTTCCTTTCTTCCCATTCACTCTTTTCTTGTCCCTCCAATTCTTTTTGAAAATTCCATACAGACAAGTTGGAAAAGTGGTACAATGAACACCCAATGTATCCTTCACCTAGACTGAACAATTATTAGTAGTTTAACATTTTTGTCTGCCTCTCTCTTTACACATACACCGAACACACACACATACACATTTTTGTTTGTTTTGAGATAGGGTCTCTGTCGCCCAGGCTGGAGTACAGTGGTGCAATCTTGGCTTACTGCAACCTCTGCCTGCCAGGCTCAAATGATCCTCCCACCTCAGCCTCCCGAGAAGCTGGGACCACAAGCACAGTCAGCTATTTTTTTGCCCAGCTATTTTTTTGTATTTTTAGTAGAGGCAGAGTCTTGCCATGTTGCCCAGGCTGCTCTCGAACTCCTGAGCTTAAGTGATCCACCCGACTCAGCCTCCCAAAGTGTTAGGATTATAGCCGTGAGCCACTGCACCTGGCCTCACATATACTTTATAATTTTTTTTTTTTTGAGGCAGGGTCTTGCTCTGTTGTCCAGGCTGGAATGCAGTGGCATGATCTTGGCTCATTGTAACCTCAAAGTCCTGTGCTAAAATGATCCTCCTGCCTCAGTCTCCCGAGTAGTTGTGCCACTACACACAGCTAATTTTTTTTTTGTTTTAGAGATGGGGTCTTGCTATGTTGCCCAGGCTGGTCTTAAACTCCTGGCCTCTAGCAATCCTCCCGCCTCAGCCTCCCAAAGTGCTGGGATTACAGGTGCTGAGCCACTGTGCCTGGCCTCCATTTTTTAAATGACACTGCCCTCTCTCTTGAACATTTCCAGTAATGCTTCTATACCTATCACTGGGCTGAGTTCCTAACACTGGAGCTTCCCAATGACCTCCATACAGCCAAATTCAATAGCTAGTTCTCACTCTTCATCTTTCTTAACCTATCTGCAACAATTGACACGATTTTTCCTTCCTCCTAAAAACATCTTCCTCTCTTGTCTTCTAGGACATGCTTCTCCATTCTCTTCTTTCCTTGCTGACTGAGCCTCAGTCTTCTGTGCTAGACTCTTCTCATCCCTCTATCTCCCATGTATTAGAGTGCCCTAGGTCTCAGTCCTCTTCTCCACTTTCACTACCCAGGTGGTTCATCCTAACCCATGGTATGAAGTATAATATATATGCTTACTACCTTTAAAAGTCAAGTTATTATTATTATTATTTTTTGAGACAGAATTTTGCTCTTGTTGCCCAGGCTGGAGTGCTATGGCGCAATCTCAGCTCACTGCAACCTCTGGCTGAACCTCCTTGGTTCAAGCGATTCTCCTGCCTCAGCCTCCCAAGTAGCTGGGATCACAGGCATGCACCATCAGACCCGGCTAATTTTGTATTTTTAGTAGAGATGGGGTTTCTTCATGTTGGTCAGGCTGGTCTCAAACTCCTGACTTCGTGATCCACCCGCCTCGGCCTCCCAAAGTGCTGGGATTACAGGCAGAAGCCACTGTGCCTGGCCTAAGATATTATTTTTTAATTATTATTTTTTCACTGGGAGCATAGATTCAAGTTGCCCTGAATATATGTTCTCCTTTAAGTTCAAGTTCTGATCTGTCCTAACCTTCGATTTTATATATGGAAGTGTCAACTTGACAGCTCTCAAGGGGTGTGTGAGTGGCATCTCTAACTCACCTGCTTAAAACTGCACTGGATTACTAGCCCTGTCCAAAACTGCTCCTCCTCTAGTCTTCCCCATCAGAGAAAATACAACGACATTCTTCCAGGTTCTCTCTTTTTTTTTTTTTTTTGGGACGGAGTCTCGCTCTGTCGCCCAGGCTGGAGTGCAGTGGCCGGATCTCAGCTCACTGCAGCTCCGCCTCCCGGGTTTACGCCATTCTCCGGCCTCAGCCTCCCGAGTAGCTAGGACTACAGGCGCCCACCACCTCGCCCGGCTAGTTTTTTGTAGTTTTAGTAGAGACGGGGTTTCACTGTGTTCGCCAGGATGGTCTCAATCTCCTGACCTTGTGATCCACCCGTCTCGGCCTCCCAAAGTGCTGGGATTACAGGCTTGAGCCACCGCGCCTGGCATCTTCCAGGTTCTCAGGACAAAAACCTGAGTCACTATGACAACTCTCTTGCTCTCATATTCTGCATCCAATTCATCAACACATTTGATCAGCTCTACTTCCCCAGTACATCCACGTTCTAACCACTTCTCAGTAGCACCATTCTCACCCCAGTCTCAGTACCAATTTCTCTCACCTGAGTTGAATACAATAACTTCCTAACTGGTTTTCAGCTTCCACAGGTAACCAGACACAGACTATTTTCCACACAGAACCCAGCTCTTTTAAAAACTCAATTCATGGCCAGGTGTGGTGGCTCACGCCTGTAATCCCAGCACTTTGGGAGGCCGAGGTGGGTGGATCACGAAGTCAGGAGTTTGAGACCAGCCTGACCAACAGGGTGAGACCCCGTCTCTATTAAAAATATAAAAATCAGCCAGGTGTGGTGGTGCGAGCCTGTAATCCCAGCTACTCAGGAGGCTGAGGCAGGAGAATCGCTTGAATTCGGGAGGCGGAGGTTGCAGTGAGCAGAGATTGTGCCACGGCACTCCAGCCTGGGCGACAGAGCGAGACTCTGTCTCAAAATAAAAAAAAAAAAAAGTCAATTCATATCATGTCACATTTCTACTTAAAACCCTCCATCGCTTCTCATCTTACAGTAAAATCTAAAGTCCTCATTACAGCCTATTGGACAACCTACAGAATCAGACCATGTGCTCCAGACTCCAAGGGCCTGGTTTTTTTTTTTTTTTTTTGAGAGAGTCTCGCTTTGTTGCCCAGGCTGGAGTGCAGTGGCATGATCTCGGCTCACCGCAACCTCCGTCTCCCGGGTTCAAGTGATTCTCCGGCCTCAGTCCCCCGAGTAGCTGGGATTATAGGCTTCAGTCACCATACCCAGCTAATTTATGTATTTTTAGAAGAGATGAGGTTTTGCCATGTTGGCCAGGCTGGTCTCGAACTCCTGACCTCAGGTGATCCGCCTGCCTTGGCCTCCCAAAGTGCTGGGATTACAGATGTGAGCCACTGTGCCAGGCCACGGGCCTGATTTTAAGCCCTGCCCTGGCTTTGCCACTCACTAACCCACTGGCGAGTTACTTAGCTTTCCATCTCTGTTTCCTCATCTGTACAACTGAAGCCTAAGAGCACCTTCACGAGTGATACCTGCAGTAAGCTTAGAACTTACATGCCAGGTAGTGCTCCTGCCTTGGGCTTTCTATTATGCTTCCTACGGCCTGGAGTGCCCCATGCAAACCACAGCCTCCACTCACTTCCTCAATTCATCCAAGGTTCAGCTCCGAGAGGCTGTCAGTCACTATGCAAACCACCTACTCCACAGCTACTCTCTGCTTTCCCTGCTTCATTTTTCTTCAGGGCGCTACCTTCCCCGACTAGAATGTAATTTGATGAGAGCCAGGACTTTGCCCTTCTTTTCACTGCTGTCTCCCTGGAACCCAGAAGGATCCCTGGGACAAAGTGGCATTCACTAAATATTTTCGTAGTTGTTAAAGGTTTAAATTAATAAATAAAGAAAATTCCCAGTTTCTAGGCAAGTGCCACTTTCCTATTTTTTTTTTTTTTTTGAGACGGAGTCTTGCTCTGTCGCCCAGGCTGGAGTGCAGTGGCGCGATCTTGGCTCACTGCAAGCTCCGCCTCCCTGGTTCACACCATTCTCCTGCCTCAGCCTCCCAAGTAGCTGGGACTACAGGGGCCTGCCACGATGCCAGGCTGATTTTTTGTGTTTTTAGTGGAGATGGGGTTTCACTGTGTTAGCCAGGATGTTCTTGATCTCCTGACCTCGTGATCTGCCCGCCTCGGCCTCCCAAAGTGCTGGGATTACAGGCATGAGCCACCGCACCTGGCTGCAAGTGCCACTTTTAATCCCAGAACCTCGGGGTCAGAAGGATAATGAAACACTACCTCATTCAAATTCAGAAATTTTTCTTTAAAGTGCCCTGATAACATCTCAGTCCCTATTTGACTCCAGTAATACTGAATTCACTTTTATAAATGAGAAGTGCCATTTCACTTGTTTTTTTTCTGTTTTCTTTTGAATGCCAGGTCATATCATTTTTCACATCTCTGATAGAAATTTGAACTTTCTAAGCGCTGAGGTGAAATGTACCTTCTTGTAGTCAATTCAATCACTGGTCTTAATTCTGCCACTTGGCACTTTAAAGGGTGATTTAAAGTAACTTTTACTCTTTTACAAACAACAGCCTTTATCCTATTTGTAGAGATGGGACATCCTTTGTAAATTTTCCTTTCAATAAAGTTTGTGGGCTCTTTGTCATCCCAGTAGGCCTGTATCTCTTTCTTTTATATACAGATATATATCTATATATATCTCTCTCTCTCTATATATATATATAGATATATATATATTTTGTTTGTTTTCTGAGACAAGGTCTTGCTCTGTCACCTAGACTGGAGTGCAGTGGCACAATCATGGCTTACTGCAGCCTTGACCTCAAGCAATCCTCCCACTTGAGCCTCCTGAGTGGCTGGGACTACAGGTCCATGCCACCACACCTGGTTAATTTTTTTTTTTTTGAGACTGAGTCTCACTCTGTCATCCAGGCTGGAGTGCAGCAGCGAATCTTGGCTCACTGCAGCTTCAGTCTCTTGGGTTCAAAGCAATTTTCATGACTCAGCCTCCCGAATAGCTGGGACTACAGGTGTGTGCCACCACATCTGGCTAATTTTTGTATTTTCAGTAGAGACAAGGTTTCTCTATGACAGCCAGGCTGGTCTCGAACTCCTGACCTCAAGTGATTCATTGGCCTCAGCCTCCCAAAGTCCTGGGATTACAGGTGTGAGCCACTTCCCCAGCCACACTTGGGTAATTTCTTAAGAATTTTTTGTAGAGATGAGTTCTGGCTATGTTGCCCAGGCTGGTCTGGAACTCCTGGACTCAAGTAATCCTCCCACCTTGGCCTCCCAGAACACTGGGGATTACAGGTGTGAGCCACTGCACCCAGCCTAAAATTGTGGTATACTAATATGGGATCATACTACATAAACATGAAAAACAGTTTTCCTTCAATATTATATAATCCACTGTTACATTATCTTTTTAAATACTATATGCTGCGCTGGGCACGGTGGCTCACGTCTGTAATCCCAACACTTTGGTAGGCCAAGGTGGGCGGATCACAAGGTCAGGAGTTTGAGACTAGCCTGACTAACATGGTGAAACCCAGTCCCTACTAAAAATACAAAAATTAGCTGGGCGCCTGTAATCCCAGCTACTCGAGAGGCTGAGGCAGGAGAATTGCTTGAACCCGGGAGGCAGAGGTTGCAGTGAGCTGAGATTGTGCCATTGCACTCCAGCCTGGGCGACAGGGTGAGACTCTGTCTCAAAAAAAAAAAAAAAAAAAAAAAAAAAAAAAAAAAAAATTATAAGCTGCAAAATCATACTACTACATTGTATTAACACTAATGAATTTTGCATAGGTATTGAAAGGCTGGCTGTAGCCTAAATGTAGGTCATCCCTGTTAACTTCTATTTTTCACCCACCATTTGAGACTGTCAATACTTTAAATTCCAAATTTGCCATCTGTTATATTAGCTATCTATCCCTCTCAGCTTTAGCCATGTATAAGTTCAACAAGCATGCTTTCTATATCTTCATCCAAGTTCTTGAATAAACAAAGTGGTTGGTCAATACAAAAACAAAGTTCTCCAAAGTATGTTTACTGTGCCCCAGGTCACAACACAATCATTATTAAAAGCAAACTGTAATATTTAGAGGCTAAAGTCCAAACTGCTATTTACCACAAAAAGATGCTGTTATCAAGTGAAGACATATGACTATACTACTTTATCTTTTAAACACCACCCAATTGACATAGGATAGGAAACACCTACTGGCAGAATTCAAAACTGAAATGTCCAAACTTACACTGAAAGCTTCCTTGCTGTTCTTAATGGCACAGGACTCGTCCACTTTGTGGTCCTCCTCTAGCACAATACTGGATGGCTAATACAAAGAAAAACACACATTACAATGGGTAACCAGTTTTTTTTTTTTTTTTTTTTTGAGACGGAGTCTCGCTCTGTCGCCCAGGCTGGAGTGCAGTGGCCGGATCTCAGCTCACTGCAAGCTCCGCCTCCCGGGTTCCGGTCATTCTCCTGCCTCAGCCTCCCGAGTAGCTGGGACTACAGGCGCCCGCCACCTCGCCCGGCTAGTTTTTTGTATTTTTTAGTAGAGACGGGGTTTCACCGTGTTAGCCAGGATGGTCTCGATCTCCTGACCTCGTGATCTGCCCGCCTCGGCCTCCCAAAGTGCTGGGATTACAGGCTTGAGCCACCGCGCCCGGCCGTAACCAGTTTTTAACAAGTTTAAATGGAAGTTAGTAAGTTTAGAGATTAAGCTAAGAATGTTTATGAACGACATTTCATGTGGGAGAATGGAAGATGTAAAAGGAGAGCTTCTTCTGAAGCATTAGCATGCACTATGACTCTTTTTTTACCAATATTAATTATGCCACTTTCAACACTTAAACTGGCAAGGCAGATAACCAGAAAGATTAAAAATACATAAGTTTTTTTTTTTTTTTTTTTTTTGAGACGGAGTCTCGCTCTGTCCCCCAGGCTGGAGTGCAGTGGCCAGATCTCAGCTCACTGCAAGCTCCGCCTCCCAGGTTTACGCCATTCTCCTGCCTCAGCCTCCCGAGTAGCTGGGACTACAGGCGCCCGCCACCTCGCCTGGCTAGTTTTTTGTATTTTTTAGTAGAGACAGGGTTTCACCGGGTTAGCCAGGATGGTCTCGATCTCCTGACCTCGTGATCCGCCCGTCTCGGCCTCCCAAAGTGCTGGGATTACAGGCTTGAGCCACCGCGCCCGGCCAAAAAAATACATAGTTTTACATTACTGGTCAATACTGATAATATAACCCTCACAGATCTCAAGCCACTACAAAAGTTTCCTTGAATCAAAAATAATATTCAGTATGGTTTTTATTGTTAAATGTATTTTGTTTGCTGAATCTTTAAAAATTGTATAGAATACATAAAAACCAAAGGCGATAAAAAACACAATCAATCAGAACACTCTGTTCTCCAAAGCCTGAGGATAAACAGCTAAAATTCCTTATTTGAAAAATTCTATTTACCTTAATTTTTAATTAAAAAAAAAGACTCAGATATCATAACTCTCCTTTTTTTTTTAAACATAAATGCATGATCTAATATTCACATTGTAAAACTTCTTAGATTTCTTTGGGCACACAATTGATTTTCTAAAAACAAGTAGTGGAAAAAAGGACAGCCCACAAGCTGGTTGGTTTTAGATAAAAGGAATCCATCTTTTGTAAACCCCAGAAACTTAGATTTTTTTCTGGCCTAAAATTAATTTTCTGCCCAAAACCACACGTCCAAGTTAGGCAATGGAAAAAGTCTGAGACACAATCTAATAGAACGCCGTGTGGCTAAACCAGTCAGGCTTCAGAAAAGCAAGCCAGTGGAAGGAGAGGTGGTGAATGGTGTTAATCATTTTGGTTTTGATTCAGGAGCATCCTTGTGGCCCAATAATTCGTAGTGAAACGCATAACCAACTAATCTTAAAGTCTCTTAAATTTGAAATACCTGGGGCAAAAGATTAAAGGCAGTCTTTTCCACATCATTTTTCTGCTGTTCCTCAAATCTTTTTACTAAATTTGATACAAATTCCTCTATTTCTTGATGATATTGCCTGTGTAAGAGGACAAAATGGTCAGAACCCAGACAGAGTAAAACATTCAATAGACTGAAGTCTTACACATTACTATAAGATGTCAAATGTGAATGTTGTTGTTTTTCAGAAGTTTAACAAATCATCGACTTTCTGTAATACTCAGGAACATATTCCTTAAGATAAATTACATATTGTTACCAAGTTAATAAAATAATTATGATAAAGTAACACAGTGATTGGCATAACTGCCAATCAGCTGTGCAAAGAATACATGGATTTGATTTATAAATTCTGTGTACTTAATTTTTAAATAGATACTACAAGTAAATGGTTCAAAATCCAAGAGAAGTAAAAGGGTTACATAATGAAAAGCTCCCTTCCTACCCTGTCTCCTGGCCATCTATTTCTACAACACAAAGATAGTCAATATATATTCAGGTCTTCCACATCCTCCTCCCAGAGATTCTTTATACATACATAAGGAAACACCAATATAAATATGAAACTGGAAAAGATAAAAGGTCTACTTTCCCCAGCCCTCCAGGTCAAGAACCAAGCTCATCATATATTCTGTAGTGCTCAGTTCAGGAGGTGTCGAAGGAGCCCAAGTCTTTTACGATGTAATCGGGGAGCCATAATGTCTCAGACTCAGTTTCCTTTTCACAGACTTGATGATCTTTTAGGTATCTTGTAGCTCTGACATTTTAAGATTTCTGCAGGTGGATCACTTGAGGTCAGGAGTTCAAGACCAGCCAGCCTGGCCAACATGGTGAAACCCTGTCTCTATTAAAAATACAAAAATTAGCTGGGCCTGGTGGCAGGCGCCTGTAATCCCAGCTACTTGGGAGGCTGAGGCAGGAGAATTGTTTGAACCCAGTGGGTGAAGGTTGCAGTGAGCCAAGATCATGCTAGCCTGAGCAAAAAGAGGGAAACTCCATCACAAAAAAAAAAAAAAAAAAGAAAAGAAAAAAGAAAAGCCAGGTGCGGTGGCTCACATCTGTAATCCCAGCACTTTGGGAGGCCAAGATGGGTGGACCACCTGAGGTTGGGAGTTCGAGACCAGCCTGACCAACATGGAGAAACCCCATCTCTACTAAAAATACAAAATTAGCCAGGTGTAGTGGCACATGCCTATAATCCCAGCTACTTGAGAGACTGCGACAGGATAATCACTTCAACCTGGGAGGTGGAGGTTGTGGTGAGCTGAGATTGCACCACTGCACTCAAGCCTGAGCAATAAGACCAGAACTCCATCTCAAAAAAAAAAAAAAAAAAGAAAAAAAAGATTTCTGCAGGTTAAATACTAGGTGAATGGTGCAGAAATGAGACCGTCATGAGCTAGAGGGTTACTGATTCTAACCTGGGCATGGGAGGGACAACAGTGCTACAGCCCAGTCGTGCCCAGCACCTTGCTGCTGTATTTAGCATCCAGCTTCCCCACCTCAGAGCCTTGGGTTCCACCTCTGCTGAGATAGAGGAGGTTATGGACCTGGCATTGTTCCTTCTATCTTCTTGACCTTGGTCAGCATTAAGAAGACAACAATATGACTAAGTGACTTTCGAGGGAGCAAGCAACTATGTGAAATGTCTATGACCATGCTCTGCAGAAGGGACAGAGCAAACCATTTTAGAACACTCTCAGCAAGCACTGCAGGAATGCACAGGGTCACCCGAAACCCTGATGCTAATGGTTTGCAAAGTCTTATTTTGCTGTTAAAAGAAATAATCAAGTGAGTAGGCTTTGAAGATGGCCAACATGGAAAACTCAGTTACCTGATTCGGAAAGAGAAATAGTGAACGTCATTGTTATTGTTACAATGATACTGATGATTTTTATTAGAAGCCATTTATTGAGCTCTTAGAGGTGCTCATGTAGCTACCTCACAGGTAGTTACTATGACTCTCCTGTTTTCCAGTGAAGTAATGGATGATGTAGCAAAGATCTGTGACCTTACCAGGTTCACAGACATAGAAAGTAAGAGTCCAGATATTCAGGTCACTGTGACCCCAATGTCCTTGCTCTTAATCATGATTCCTTACGCTTTAACTCCAGGGTCATTTTAAGTAAAATAATAAAAATGATATAAGTACAAATCAAAACGGCATATTTATAAAGTTGTTCCATAAACACATTATTATTTTTAGGAGAGGGGAAAAATTACTTACTTTGAAATAGCATTGTTCATGAATAGAATCTGTAATATAGGTCCATCTAACTTAGTATCGTTCACCAATATTCCACTAAAACAGAAGTTAGAACATATTCTTAGAAGACATTTAAGTAAAACTTGCATACATATATATAAACACATAACTTTTATACATTATTTATTTATTAATTATTATTATTATTATACTTTAAGTTCTAGGGTACATGTGCATAACGTGCAGGTTTCTTACATATGTACACTTTTTTTTTTTTTGAGACGGTGTCTCGCCTGTCGCCCAGGCTGGAATGCAGTGGTGCAATCTGGGCTCACTGCAAGCTCCGCCTCCCGGGTTCACGCCATTCTCCTGCCTCAGCCTCCCGAGTAGCTGGGACTACAGGCACCCGCCACCTCGCCCGGCTAGTTTTTTGTATTTTTTTTTTTAGTAGAGACGGGGTTTCACCGTGTTAGCCAGTGTTAGCCGGTGATCTGCCGGCCTTGGCCTCCCAAAGACCTTGGGCTAAAGAAGTGAGCCACCGTGCCTGGTATATTTCTTTCTTTCTTTTTCTTTGAGACAGAGTTTCGCTCTCTCGCCCAGGCTGGAGTACAGTGGCTCCATCTCGGCTCACTGCAACCTCTGCCTCCTGGGTTCATGCTATTCTCCTGCCTCAGCTTCCCGAGTAGCTGGGACTACAGGCGCCCGTGACCATGCTTGGCTAATTTTTTTGTATTTTTAGTACAGGCGGGATTTCACGATGTTAGCTAGGATGGTCTCAATCTCCTGACCTTGTGATCTGCCCGCCTTGGCCTCTCAAAGTGCTAGGATTACAGGCGTGAGCCACCATGCCTGGCCTGTGCCTGGTGTATTTCTAAAGGAATCTTAATGAATGTGGCTTGGAAGTATATACGAAAGAACACTTTATAAATAGATAGACTCTTGGAGGGCAAAGCATATTGTACTAAATATCTCAAATCCAAGATTCTAAAGAAGAATATAAAAAAAGTATACTATTCCTGGATTTGACTTTCAAATACTACAAAAAACAGAACTAGAATGTAGCCTAAAAACCTGTAATATATCCCATGGGTAACCTGGGGCCAGATGAATGTCTGATTCTTCCTCTTCTCACCTGCCTCATATTCCTTTACCTGTATAGCATGTGAAATAAATGTCTTTATTTGGAATTGTCCATATCAAGTAAAGAAATAAAATAAGAGGCTGGGTGCAGTGGCTCACGCCTGCAATCCCAGCACTTTGGGAGGCAGAGGATGACGGATCACGAGGTCAGGAGTTCGAGACCGGCCTGGCCAACATGGTGAAACCCTGTCTCCACTAAAAAAAAAAAAATACAAAAATAAGCCATGCATGGTAGCACATGCCTGTAAACTCAGTTACTCAGGAGGCTGAGGCTGCACTCCAGCCTGGGTGACAGAGCAAGACGCCTGGCCAACCAGGGATGTTTTTAAAAGTCACATGCAGCTGCATGGTTCCTAAATTGAGTCCAGTTTGATAAAACAGCTATAAATATACTCACAGTTGGAGAAATTTGAATATGGTAGGGACATGATTAAGGAAGTCATGCCAGTTATTAGGTGTGATAATTGAGTGGTGGTTATGCATGAAAAAGTCTCTATTTTTAAAAATACACATTGAAATATTTGGGCTGAAATGTATATGTGATTAGAAGAAGGCAATATGGTAAAAATATTATATGTTAAATTAAGTGAGGAAAACATGGGTGTTAACCATACTGTTCTTTTCTTTTTTTTTTTTTTTTTTTTTTTTTTTGAGACGGAGTCTTGCTCTGTCACCCGGGCTGGAGTGCAGTGGCCGAATGTCAGCTCACTGCAAGCTCCGCCTCCCGGGTTTACGCCATTCTCTTGCCTCAGCCTCCCGAGTAGCTGGGACTACAGGCGCCTGCCACCTCGCCCGGCTAAATTTTTTGTATTTTTAGTAGAGACGGGGTTTCACCGTGTTAGCCAGGATGGTCTCGATCTCCTGACCTTGTGATCCGCCCATCTCGGCCTCCCAAAGTGCTGGGATTACAGGCTTGAGCCACCGCGCCCGGCCTGTTCTTTTCATTTCTTGTATATTTTCACAATAAAAGTAAAAGAAGGCCGGGCGAAGTGGCTCATGCCTGTAATCCTAGCACCTTGGGAGGCTGAGGATGGCAGATCACCTGAAATCAGAAGTTGGAGACCAGCCTGGTCAACACGGTGAAACCCCGTCTCTACCAAAAAACAGAAAAATTATCCGGGTGTGGTGGCACACACCTGTAGCCCCAGCTACTCGGGAGGTGTAGGTGAAAGAATGGCTTGAACTCAGAAGTCAAAGGCTGCAGTGAGTCAAAATCATGCCGTAGCACTCACGCCTGGGCAACAGAGTGACACTCTGGCTCTGTCTCAAAAACAAACAGAAAGTAAAACAAATAAACAAACCCCAACAAAATGTTTATTAATTAAATAAAGAGGAGAGGGCTGGGCATGATGGCTCATGCCTGTAATCCCAGCACTTTGGGAGGCCGAGGCGGGTGGATCTTGAGGTCAGGAGTTTGAGAACAGCCTGACCAACATGGTGAAAAACTGTCTCTACTAAAAATACAAAAATTTTTATTTTTAGGTGGTGTGCACCTGTAATCCCAGCTACTCAGGAGGTTGAGGCAGGAAAATCACTTGAACCTGGGAGGCAGAGGTCGCAGTGAGGCGAGATCACACAACTGCACTACAGCCTGGGCGACAGAGTGAGACTCTATCTCAAAAAAAAAAAAAAAAAAGAGGAGAAACAGACTAAGCCCAGTGTAACCCCAGGACTTTGGGAGGCCGAGGCAGGAGGATCACTTGAGCCTAGGAGTTTGAAAACAGTCTGGCAATTTGGCAAAACCCCATCTCTAAGCTAAATACAAAAGTTAGCCAGGTGTGGTGGCATGTTCCTATGGTCCCAGCTACTCAGGAGGCTGAGATGAGAGGATCACTTGAGCCTGGGAGGATGAGGCTGCAGTGAGCAGTAACTGCGTGACTACACTCCAGCCTAGATGACAGAGTGAGAAATTGTCTTGAAAAAACCAAAAACAAAACAAACAAACAAAAAAAACCAAAAAAACAGGAGAAACTTCTGATTATAACAGTTTCAAAAATAAGGACTAAATCAAGAGACATGAGAGTACAAATTTTATCTAAATAATTTCATTTGTCCTTTTTCCTTGGTTTTCTGTACAACACTTTATCAGCCTGACAATATGGAGGGCACTAATTCTAAGAAAATACTAATTTATTTCTTTTTCATGATGCTAATCCTTTGTGCTTATAAACTGGCAAAGCCTATATATGATGCGGTAATCATTTGAACTCAGATAAAAATCACCCAATTTAAGATAAATATTAAATGTTTAAATGACTCCATTAGAAAATGTATGCTTATCTAAATAAAATCTTATATAAAAATTACGACTTTTATGAGGAATCCTAGTTATATTTAATATACTTAAAACCTAATCAAAAATCAGTTTATTTTATTAAGCCTCCCAAGTAGCTGAGACTACAGGCACATGCCACCACATCCAGTTAATTTTAAAAAAATTTTTTGTAGAGATAGGGTCTCACCATGTTGTCCAGACTGGTCTCCCACTTCTGGTCTCAAGCAATGCTCCCAGCGTGCTGAGATTACAGGTGTGAACCATTGTGCCCAGCCAAAAATGAGTTTAGATACACAAAGTGAGCTCACATAGAGAAAGGACGATGAGATATAAGGAAGTTAATTTGAAATATTGGCCGGGCGGGTGGCTCACATCTGTAATCCCAGCATTTCAGGAGGGCGAGGCGGGCAGATCATGAGGTCAGGAGATCAAGACCATCCTGGCCAACACGATGAAACCCCATCTCTACTAAAAATACAAAAAAATTAGCCGGGCGTGGTGGCAGGCACCTGTAGTCCCAGTTACTCAGGAGGCTGAGGCAGGAGAAAGGAGAATTGCTTGAACCCAGGAGGCAGAGGTTGCAATGAGCCGAGATCACGCCACTGTACTCCAGCCTGCGTGACAGAGCGAGACTCTGTCTCAAAAAAAAAAAAAAAAATCTGAAATATTTCTAAATTCTAAAATTTAAACTTGTAGTCACCACTGCAGCCAGTTATTCCCACTGGTGCCAGGGACTAAAAAGTACATATGAGGCTGGGCACAGTGGCTCACGCCTGGTATCCCAGCACTTTGGGAGGCTGAGGTGGGCAGATCACTTGAGGCCAGGCATTTGAGACCAGCCTGGCCAACACAGTGAAACCCCATCTCTACTAAAAATATAAAAATTAGCTGAGTGTGGTGGTGGGCACCTGTAATCCCAGCTACTTGGGAGGCTGAGGCAGGAGAATTGCTTGAACCCAGGAGGTAGAGGTTGCTGTGAGCTGAGATAGTACCACCGCACTCCAGCCTGGGGAATAGACTGAGACTCTGTCTCAAAAAAATTAAAAATAAATAAATAACAAAGTGCATGTGAAATTATATCATGGCACCTCCAAATTCTGAAAGCTTGAAAATACCATTTCTCATAATCTGTACTTTAACAAATACTTTAGATTTAGTGACCGTTAAATAAATTTATATTTTGAGATACCAGCATTTAATATTTTTGTTAAAGTTAGGTGCCTAGGCTGGGCATGGTGGCTCATGCCTGTAATTATAGCACTTTGGGAGGCCTAGGCAGAAGGATCACTTGAGGCCAGGAATTTGAGCTTGAGCAACAAAGCAAGACCCTGACTCTATTAGAAAAAAAAAAAAAATAGCTGGGTGTGGTGGTGTCTGTCTGTAGTCCTAGCTATTCGGGGGAGGCTGAGGCAGGAGGATCAAGGCTTCAGTGAGCTACAATTGCAACACTGTACACCAGCCTGAGTGATAGAGCTAGATGTTGTCTCAAACAAAAACAAAAACATGACCAGGCACGCACAGTGGCTCACACCTGTAATCCCAGTACTTTGGGAGGCCGAGGCGGGCGGATCACGAGGTCAGGAGATCAAGACCATCCTGGCTAACACGGTGAAACTCCGTCTCTACTGAAAATACAAAAAAATTAGCCGGGCGTGGTGGGGGTGCCTGTAGTCCTAGCTACTTGGGAGGCTGAGGCAGGAGAATGACGTGAACCCAGGAGGCGGAGCTTGCAGTGAGCCGAGATTGTGCCACTGCACTCCAGCCTGGGCGACAGAGTGAGACTCCGTCTCAAAAACAAAACGAAAACAAAAACAAACAAACAACAAAACATAAAATCAGATGCCTAAATGCAAATCTACACACTGTATCTTTTTCAAAGGCACGTTACTTTTTCTTCTAAAATGCTGATTCTTGCATTGTTTCTATTTATGAACACATTTTAACTATGTAAATAAATCTTCAGCTAGAGTAATACTGTAATCGTTTTTTTTTTTTTTTTCAGACGGAGTTCGGAGTTCGCTCTTGTCACTCTCAGCTCACTGCAACCTCTACCTCCCGGGTTCAAGTGATTCTCCTGCCTCAGCCTCCCAAGTAGCTGGGATTACAGGCGCCCACCACCACCCCCAGCTTATTTTTGTATTTTTAGTAGAGACAGGGTTTCACGTTACCCAGGTTGGTCTCGAACTGACCTCAAGTGATCCGCCCACCTTGGCCTCCCAAAGTGCTGGGATTACAGGCGTGAGCCACTGCACCTGACCCACAATACTATAATTTTTTTTTAGGTGCTGGAATTACAGGCATGAGCCACCAGACCCAGCCAATACTGTAATTTTAATTCTAACTTTGTAGAAATGTTTGTTAAATAGGAATAGCTAGGTTAACAACTTGCCTATTCTGAACATTAAGTAAACATTTTCTGGATTTTGTTTCATAAATACTTTCACCCATTATTGAGCTTACAATTTTAATCCACTTATGAGAATTCAGACCTTATCCCCACAAATAAAGAACTACTACTTTGACTTCTTCAGAGTATGCTAAACAAATAAAAATGATACAAAAATCGCATACACTTTTTACAAAGAAATTGTGATTAAATATTAGTATCAGGAAAAATAATAAGGGACAACTATGGATTAATTTCAAAAGACTCATACCTTGGTCGAGTTAGAATGTTCAATTTTCGTTTAAGTTCTTGATGTTATTATTTGTTAAGGAAGATAAGCCCTCATTTAACAAGGCGGATCATAAAATTCAACTACTACTTCTGTAACTTTTGGTATCAGAATATTATAAAGATAAAAGACCCACGGATATTTTGAGGATGACACACTTATTGAGCTTCTATTTTGTTGCAGGGGTAGGGTTTTGAAACCTAAAATTAAAATACAGTTTTTATCCTTTCGAACATACATTCTTTTTTTTTTTTTTTTTTTGAGACAGAGTCTGGCTCTGTCGCCCAGGCTGGAGTGCAGTGGCCGGATCTCAGCTCACTGCAAGCTCCGCCTCCCGGGTTCCCACCATTCTCCTGCCTCAGCCTCCCGAGTAGCTGGGACTACAGGCGCCGCCACCTCGCCCGGCTAGTTTTTTTGTATTTTTTAGTAGAGACGGGGTTTCACCATGTTAGCCAGGATGGTCTCGATCTCCTGACCTTGTGATCCGCCCGTCTCGGCCTCCCAAAGTGCTGGGATTACAGGCTTGAGCCACCGCGCCCGGCTTCGAACATACATTCTAAGACACGATCCTGAAGTTCTACAGACTAACAAACTGAACCCAAAACATTATTAAATCATCAGTGTTCCTGTGAACAACCTTTCAACAACCACTATGTGATAAAGATAATGCAGTATAACGAGCTGTTAACAACTTTAGAATCTGGAATAAATCTATGGATATCCACTGTAGAATCCTTTCAACTTTTCATTTTTTTTTGAGACAGAGTGTCGCCCTGTTGCCCAGGCTCCAGTGCAATGGTGTGATCTCGGCTCACTGCAACCTTCGCTCCCAGGTTTAAGCGATTCTCCTGCCTCGGCCTCTAGAGTAGCTGGGATTACAGGCACGCACAACCACGCCCGGCTAATTTTTTGTATCTTTAGTAGAGGCAAGGTTTCATCATGTTAGCCAGGCTGGTCTCGAACTTCTGACCTCGTGATCAGCCCGCCTTGGCCTCCTAAAGTGCTGGGATTACAGGCGTGAGCCACCGTGCCCGGCTTCCATTTTTGTATTTCGAAAATTTGCCTCACAATGTGGAGGAAGATGACATTCTGAAAAAATAAATCGGGCTTCAAAACCTCAAAAGCTGATATCCTGGCTGGGCGTGGTGGCGGGCACCTGTAATCCCAGCTATTAGGGAGGCTGAGGCAGGAGAATCGCTCGAACCCGGGAGGCGGAGGTTGCAGTGAGCCGAGATCGTGCCACTGCACTCCAGCCTGGGCGACATAGTGAGACCCCATTCCCCCATCCCGTCCCCCCAAAAAAGCTAACATACCAGTCACTTTCAGTTCTCCTTACAAATTTTAAAAGGAAAACTACCCGAACCAAAGTTATCTATCTACCTATAAAACTCCTAAGAACGTAAAAAAACATACTAGCAAATCAAGAAAAATCTGCAATCTTGTAACTCAAGTCTAACAGAAATTTCTTTGGCGCGTTTTCCCCAAGGTGCTGCAAAGCATCTTCAGCACAGAAGCGAGTTCCGACTGGAAGAACTCTAAAATTAATCCCCAATTTTAATCAAGCAATTAACCAATTATCTCAGCACACGCGGATTCCTTGAGGTCCCCAACTCTGCATTCTGGGACCACTAGCGTTTGCCCGGGTATAAAAACTGATCCCGCGTCTAAGCAGCCGGTATTTCATCACCTACAACTATAACATGACGGCACAACTTGAGCGTGGCTGCAAAATATGAAACCTTATCACGACCTCAAAAAGAGGCGGGCAAGCAGGGGCCTGTGTACAATCTGTCAGGTGAGCAGCCTAAAATAACCCTAAACCCGGGTAGGAGGCAAGAGTGGGTCTGGTCAGGAGACGGCCTCCCTGAGGGGAAGAGGTCTGCGCCGAGGCGCCGGGGCAGCCTGCGCGCCCCGAACCCTAGACTCTCGGCCCGCCGGCGGGTGACAGAAATCACTTGGAATTCTGGCCCTCCTGGAATTTCCGCCCGCGCCCTCACCCTCGCCCGGCGCTGCCCCGGCCCCACGCCCGGGTGACAGGGCCCAGCGAGCGGGAAGGATATTCTCGGCGCGGAGCTGCTCGATGGTCTCCTCGCACTGCCGAAGCCGCTCCCGTAGTTCCGCGTCGCCGACCCCATTTTCGTCCTCCTCGTCGCCGTCCTCGTCCTTGAAGCGAGTATGAACGGGCTTCAGAATCGACTCCTCTGGGTGGTCGAACGGCTCGAACAGCTCTACATCGCCAAAATACACTTCCGCCGCCATTTTGGGCTGTGGAAAAGATTCGAGAAGAGGCGGAGCCGGCCACCAGGGCTGGGGGACGAAGGTTGGCAGGCGCCACCACTCTCCAGAGCTCTGGCCGCGCGGAGCCACCCGCTAGGGTTTTGTCCAGACGCAGGCCGCGAAAGCTGCACACGGGGCGGGGCCGGTCGCTAGAGACTACAACTCCCAGAATGCAGCGGGGCCTATCGGGGATAGTGATTGCCCGGAATATGGCATGCTGGGACGTGTGGTTTCTAAGCGACTGGTACTCATTGTCTGCATTGCATCCTGGGATTGGTGCTTTTTGAAACGTGAAGAAAGCCGGAGTAGGTCAGAATGCGCTAAAGCAATATGGGGCCAGGGGGCGGTGGTTCACGCCTGTAATCCCAACCATTCGGGAGGCCGAGGCGGGAGGATCACGTGAGCCCAGGAGTTGGAGACCACCCTGGGCAACAGAGCAAGACCCAGACACTACAAAAAATATAAAAATTAGCTGGGCGATTGTAGTCTCAGGTACTCGACAGGCTGAGGCGGGAGGGTCCCTTGAACCCAAGGGGTCGAGGATGCATTGAGCCCAGATGGCGCCATTGCACACCAGCTTGGGCGACAAAGCAAGACCCTGTCTCAAAAAGAAAAAGAAAAACAAAAATCAGTATGAGATGTTCCTATTAGGTAACTAAGGCTGAAAAATCAGAGCACGACGCATAGCTTCCTCACAGATTCTGGTGTGCATGCCACACCAGAGAATAAGGAACTCCATAGCCCGAAAGGGAACTGAATAAAAATAAATATAAAAGAGAATAAGAAACTCCAGCTTTGCTACACAGATGACTGTTGTAGATACAAGTTACTTTATTGAGCTTACTTCGTTTTAAATGTAAGATTAGCTAGATTCGACTATTTTAGTGTGTTGAGGCTTTCTGTGGTTTCTCTTGTTCAATCACTTGTTCATTCAATCACATTATTTATTTACACCTTCAATGGGCCAGGCACTTGTCTAGGACTTGAGTATGCAAGAGTAACCACAATAGAGTAATTCCTCCTCTCACAAAGGCTGTAGTCCACAAAAAGCAACAAAAACCCCATAATTATAAATGTTCTTGGGTCGAGATGGATGTTGATGGATATTCATCACATAAAGAAATGTGGGCCGGGCGTGGTGGCTCATATCTGTAATCCCAGCACTTTGGGAGGCCGAAGCAGGCGGATCACAAGGTCAGAAGCTCAAGACGAGCACGACGTCTCGAGACGACATAAAGAAACCCTGTCTCGGCCGGGCGCGGTGGCTCAAGCCTGTAATCCCAGCACTTTGGGAGGCCGAGACAGGTGGATCACGAGGTCAGGAGATCGAAACCATCCTGGCTAACTCGGTGAAACCCCGTCTCTACTAAAAAATACAAAAAACTGGCCGGGCGTGGTGGCGGGCGCCTGTAGTCCCAGCTACTCGGGAGGCTGAGGCAGAATGGCGAGAACCCGGGAGGCGGAGCTTGCAGTGAGCTGAGATCCGGCCACTGCACTCCAGCCTGGGTGACAGAGCGAGACTCCATCTCAAAAAAAAAAAAAAAAAAAAAAAAATAAGAGTGTAACTACAATAGAGTAATTCCTCCTCTCCCTGCCAAAGGCTGTAGTCCACAAAAAGCAACAAAAACCCCATAATTATAAATGTTCTTTGGGTCGTAGATGGTGTGTTGATGGATATTCATCAAAAGAAATGTGGGCCGGCGTGGGTGGCCTATATCTGTAATCCCAGCACTTTGGGAGGCCGGCTAGCGATCACAAGGTCAGAAGCTCAAGACGAGCACGACGCCTCGAGATTTGCTACATAAAGAAACCCTGTTCTGCCCGGCGCGGTGGCTCAAGCCTGTAATCCCAGCAGCCTTTGTGAGGCCGAGACAGGATCACGCAGGTCAGGAGATCGAAACCATCTGGCTAACTCGGTAACTCCGTCTCTACTAAAAATACAAAAACTGGCCGGCGTGGTGGCGGGCGCCTGTAGTCCCCAGCTACTTCGCCGGGAGGCTGAGGCAGGAATGGTGGCGAGAACCCCGGGAGGCGGAGCTTGCAGGAGCTGAGATCCGGCCACTGCACTCCAGCTCAGGATAGAGACAGGCCGAGATTCGTCTCTGCTAAAAAAAAAAAAAAAAAAAGAAAGAAACCCTGTCTCTACTAAAAATACAAAAATTAGCCAGGCGTAGTGGCGCATGCCTGTAATCCCAGCTATTCAGAAAGCTGAGGCAGGAGAATTGCTTGAGCCCAGGAGGCAGAGGTTGCAGTGAGCCGAAATCGTGCCACTGCACTCCAGCCTGGGAAACAGAGCGAGACTCTGTCTCAAAAAATAAATAAAATAAGAAAAAAAGGTGAAAAACACAGGAAGTTATGAATATTTAACAAACACCCTAGTCTGTGGGAGTCAGTGAAGTGAGGAAGTGAGACTTTAAGGATGGGCAAAGTTAGGGGTGGGCACATGGGAGGATGGAAGGAAGAGTCTTAGGTATAAGAACCACCATGTTGAGTGAAAAGGGAGAGTGGAGCAAGATGAGGCTGGAACACTACTAGGGCAGTACTCAAAGGCCCTTAAGGAAGAAGCCTCTCTCCATTCACAACATCGGGAAGTCATATACACATTTTACATTTTTTTGTTGTGGACAACGGGATCTCCCTATATTGCCCAGGCAGGTCTTGAACTTCTGAGCTAAAGCTATCCTCCTGCCTCTGCCTCCCTAAATACTGGGATTACAGGAATAAGCCACTGTGCCTGGCCATTTAAATTTTTTGAAATTTTACTGAGACACACAGTCTGACTCTGCCACCCAGGCTGGTGTGCAGTGGCACGATCTTGGCTCACTGCAACCTCCACCTCCCAGGTTTACTTTCACTGAAAAATCTGCATGAGGCAAGGCGCAATGGCTCACGCCTGTAATCCCAGCACTTTAGGAGGCCCAGGCGGGCGGATCATGAGGTCAGGAGTTCAAGACCAGCCTGGCCAACATGGTGTAACCTTGGAGTTCGAGACCAGCCTGGCTGACATGGTGAAACCCCGTCTCTACCAAAAATACAACAATTAGCCTGGCATGGTGGTGGGTGCCTGTAATCCCAATTACTCACAAGGCTGAGGCAGGAGAATCGCTTGAATCCAGGAGACAAATGTCGCAGTGAGCTGGGATCATGCAACTGCACTCCAGCCTGGGCAACACAGACTCTCTCACACACACACACACACAAAATTCTGCATGTAAGTGGACCCTGAAAGTTCAAACCCATGTTGTTCAAGGGACAATTGTAATTTCATCTTTTAATTATTTGCATTTGGCTACTCAAAAAAGAAATTGAAATAAAAGATTACTGTTAGGCCAGATACTGTGGCTTCATGCCTGAATCCTAGGTAGCACTTTGGGAGGCTGAGACAATGCAGATCATTTGAGGTCAAGAGTGGGAGACCAGCCTGGCCAACAGCTTGAGAACCCCATCTCTACAAAAATTATCCGGGTATGTTGTCATGGGCCTTTGGTGCCAGTTACTCAGGGGAATGAGGTGGGAAGATCACTTGGACCAATATACATAGATGCACATATGTATTTTATTGGACAGTGCTGTTATAGATGAGCAAAGGACAGGCTGTAACACTCATTATGTATGGTCAGCTCCTAAAATAACTGTAGACACACAGGAAGCTTTTGTGTCCACACTGCCTTACAAGGTCATGAACATTTTTAATAATACTGATTTGAAAAGGCAGACCTTAATTGAAAAATGTGATGATCACAAAATGAAGGATCCATAGTGTTGTTTCCTTAGAAGGCTTAGATTTGTCGCTGAAACACGGTGAAAAGCCATTTTCCCATAGAATTACTGTGCTCTGGGAAAACGAAAGGTTTATTAAAATATATTAAAAATCTTATAATCTGGCTGGGTGAAGTGGATCACACCTGTAACCCCATCACTTTGGGAGCCCTGAAGTGGGAGGACTGCTTGAGGCCAGGAATTCAAGACCAACCTGGGCAACATAACAAGACCTTGTCTTTACAAAAAATTAAAAACAAGCTAGGTGTGTTGGTGAGCACCTGTGGTCCCAGCTACTCAAGAGGCTGAGGTGGGAGGACTGCTTGAGCCCCGGGGAGCCTACTGCACTGCACTCCAGCCTAGGACAGAAAGCATAAAGAAAACACCCCATCACTTGATTTTCAGGTATAAGAAAAATATACCTAATGGGCAAGTTGGCAGGACTTAATTCCAACTTTTAAAATAAGGCTGTCAATCTTATTCCTATAGTCTTCCCTGATTGTAATGTGCTCTCATACTGTGATGTTTTCCAAAGGAAAGCCAAACCTTATTACTTTGTTGTAACGAAGTAAACGAACTTGGTTTTGCAGGGCTCCTCTATCCCTTAGTTTCAGGTTTATGCTCAATCTAGTAACAAAACCTTTTCTAGGCCGGGTGCAGAGGCTCACGCCTGTAATCCCAGCACTTTGGGAGGCTGAGGGTGGATGACCTGAGGTCAGGTGTTCGGGACCAGCCTGGCCAACATGGTAAAATACCATCTCTACTAAAAATATAAAAATTAGCTAGGTGTGGTGGTGGGCCTGTAATCCCAGTTACTTGGGAGGCGGAGGTGGAAGAATTGCTTGAACCTGGGAGGCAGAGGCTGCAGTGAGCCGAGATTGTGCCATTGCACCCAGCCTAGGCAACAGAGCGAGACCCTGTCTCAAAAACAAAAATGAAAAAAATTTTTCTAATATTTTAGTATTTTTTTTTTTTTTTGAGACGGAGTCTTGCTCTGTAGCCCGGGCTGGAGTGCAGTGGCCGGATCTCAGCTCACTGCAAGCTCCGCCTCCCGGGTTCACGCCATTCTCCTGCCTCAGCCTCCGGAGTAGCTGGGACTACAGGCGCCCACCACCTCGCCCGGCTAGTTTTTTGTATTTTTAGTAGAGACGGGGTTTCACCGTGTTAGCCAGGATGGTCTCGATCTCCTGACCTCGTGATCCGCCCGTCTCGGCCTCCCTAAGTGCTGGGATTACAGGCTTGAGCCACCGCGCCCGGCCATATTTTAGTATTTTATAGTCTATGCTGGAGAAGACTCCAAAGGGATAATGAGCAAAAAGCATACAAAGAACTTGTCATAAGGCACTTTATTAAAATAAAAGTGCTTACATCCCTTTAATGCATTAATCTATTTCCTGAATAACACATGTAATATTTGACAAATACTGAATACCAAGTCTGTCCCTTATAATAGGAAAACATACTATTTTAATAAGTTTTCTCCTCCCACCTTTTACATTTTTGCTCACCATGGTATTGCCTGTAGTATAGTTAACTGGCCTTAAAAAAGGCTGGGGTGGGGGTGATTTCTAGCTAGTGTTTTCTAACAGCAATTGCCAAATGCTACAGAAACCACAAAACAAATTCAAAGAAACATCCCAGGTAACTTAAATTAACACCAGTTTTGAGAAAACCATTTTTATTATCATCACCACCCAGCTTATCTGTGCTGGATTATGTACCAAATGGCCAGATCTTCTAAAGAACATCTACATAACATTTCTTTCATGTTTCAAGAGATGAAAATAACTGTACAAGGTTAAGTACAAAAGTACACAAGACAGCGGACACGAAAAAATCCATGTATGAGATTTTATCCCCACCTGCAGCTTTTATATATTTGAAAAGTAGAATTCATGAACTAAAAAATATTGTCCTTCTATAGTCCTGTCAAGTTTAATGGAAGTGGGTTTAACCTGATTACAACACTAACACCAGTATCACTGATCTGATATTTACAAAAATTTGTATTTTTCAATAAATTAAAGTCAATGCAACACCCATGCAAGCTAGAATGCTAGCTGTTTGGTGAACAAGGACCTGACATCAGAACAAGAAGTCTGTAAGTCCCAAACTTTACAAGTGTCATCATTTTCAAACTGCATCCATTCCTCGCATTGAAGATGTGAAACCCAAACCCATTCCTCTTTGTGTGTGGGTCTGTGATCTTGCCATTTCATACTGAGCATCTAAATTTCGAAATACTTCTTCCTGTTGCTTCAGAGTCTTGTAACTTTCTTCATCAACTGAGCTACACCCAGCTTCATCTTCACTCTAAAGATCAGACATAAAACATTACAATGAATTCAGATGGAGATGAATATTCTCTCACTTGACACTATTTTTTATTTTTTTGCACAGTCTGGAGTGCAGTGGTGCCATTCTTGGCTCACTGCAACCTCTGCCTCCCGGGATTAAGCAATTCTTATGCCTCAGCCTCCCAAATAGCTGGGATTCCAGGTGCACACCACCACGCCCAGCTAATTTTTGTATTTTGAGTAGAGACGGGGTTTCACCACGTTAGTCAGGCTGGTTTCGAATTCCTGACCTCATGATCCGCCCACCTTGGCTTCCCAGTGTGCTGGGATTACAGGCGTGAGCCACCACGCCCAGTCCCAATTTTTGTATTGTTAGTAGAGATGGGGTTTCACAATATTGGTCAGGCTGGTCTCGAACTCCTGACCTCAGGGATCCGCCCCCCTCAGCCTCCCAAAGCGTTGGGATTACAGGTGTGAGCTAGGCTGACACTATTATTAAATCATACTTTTGGCTGGGCACAGTGTGGCTCATGCCTGTAATCCCAGGACTTCGGGAGGCTGAGATGGGTGGATCACCTAAGGTCAGGAGTTCGAGACTAGCCTGGCCAACATGGTGAAACCCCCGTCTCTACTAACAAAACAAAACAAAACCAAAACAAAAAAAAATGTACTTTTGGGATGTGTATTTGATCTCGATGACTTAATTTCCATTCATTATTAAACACCTCCATAGTACAAAGCAATATTCTTTCTAGGTCTGGAATATAGCAGGGTGTACCAAAGTTAACTTCGGTTTAGTAGGTTGGAAAAAACAGTATGTAGAAGAAGTCAGGGTATAAATGCCACAGAGGAAAGCAACATAGAAAACGGGAATGGAGGGTGGGCGCAATGGCTCAGAACTGTGATCCAGGGCTTTGAGAGGCCGAGGTGGAAGGACTGCTTGAGCCCCGAAGTTTGAGGCTGCAGCGAGGTATGACTGCACCACTGTACTCCAGCCCGAGCGACAGAGCAAGCAGAGCAAGACTGCGTCTCTCTCACTAAGTGTGTGTGTAGGGAGGACAGTGGGTAGGGGAGATAGAAATGTTTCAGAATGGGATTGCTTGTTGTTTTACAAAAGGTGGTGGGAAAGAACTCAAACACTGACACCTGAGCCAAGATCAGAACTAAGAAAATGAGGGAAGATTAGTGCAGGACGGCTAACAGCTACTGCAAAGATTCCCTGGCACATTTGAAACTCACCTTAATACCCATCAACTTCCTAAATTTGACATTTTGGTCCTTGTTTCCAAAATTCAATTTTTCCCATATTTCAGCAGATTGGGATTTGTCCTGTTAAGAAACATTAAACTTTAAAACATGTAAAATTTAAATATATTTTTTAGGACATGAAATATCTCAACAATGTCTCAATGAAAAAAACAAACAGCATGGATGGCATTCAATCAATGTAAGTTTAATTATTTCAAGACTTAAGAAACCACAAAGCGGGCCGGGCGCGGTGGCTCAAGCCTGTAATCCCAGCACTTTGGGAGGCCGAGTCGGGCGGATCACGAGGTCAGGAGATCGAGACCATCCTGGCTAACACGGTGAAACCCCGTCTCTACTAAAAATACAAAAAAAAACTAGCTGGGCGAGGTGGTGGGCGCCTGTAGTCCCAGCTACTCCGGAGGCTGAGGCAGGAGAATGGCGTGAACCCGGGAGGCGGAGCTTGCAGTGAGCTGAGATCCGGCCACTGCACCCCAGCCCAGGCTACAGAGCCAGACTCCGTCTCAAAAAAAAAAAAAAAAAAAAAAAAAAAAAAGAAACCACAAAGCAAAGAAATATAAGCAAGAGGTTGGTTATTACTCCTGTAATCCCAGCAGTTTGGGAGGCCGAGGCGGGCAAATCACCTGAGGTCAGGGGGTTGAGACCAGCCTGGCTAACATGGTGAAACTCCATCTCTACTAAAAACACAAAAAGGTAGCCTGGCGTGGTGGTGGGCACCGGTAGACCCAGGAGGGTCTCAGGAGTCTGAGGCAGGAGAATTGCTTGAACCCGGGAGGCAGAGGTTGCAGTGAGTCGAGATCATGCCACTGCACTCCAGCCTGGGCGACAAGAGCGAGACCCTGTCTCAAAAACAAAAAAAATGGATTCTTTTCCTGTCATAGGCCTTTTTTAACATGCAATTTTTGCAACTGCATATGCCATCTGCAATTAATGTCACGTCATTGCAAATAATGTTTAAAAAACAAAAAACAAAAACCAGTACCTCATAATCTATGAAAAATCCTAAACCAAGTAGTCTCTTTTCCTTAATACTACGTAATATTAGTTTTCTTTGAAAGCTTGACTTCAATCAATTATGTTTTATTTTAGTATTAACAACTGGCAAATAAGACTATCCTAGCTTTTTGTTTTTTGAGACAGGGTCTCAACTCTGTCCCCGAGGCTGAGGTTGCAGTGGCATTATTTTTTTATTTTTATTTTTTTGAGATGGAGTTTCACTGGAAACTCACTCACTACAACCTCCTCCTCCCAGGATCAAGCAATTCTCCTGTCTCAGCCTCCCAAGTAGCTGGGATTACAGGTGCACACCACTACGCCTGGCTAAGTGGCATGATCTTGGCTCACTGTAGCCGGTGCATAACAGGCTCAAGTGATTCTCTTGCCTCAGCCTACCACCACACCCAGCTAATTTTTAAATTTTCTTTTCAGTACTGACAGGGTTTTGCCATGTTGACCAGGCTGGTCTTGGACTCCTTATCTCAAGTGATTCCCTTGCCTCAGTGTCCCAAAGTACTCGGATTATAGGCATAAGCCACCTGCGTCTGGCCATCCCAGGTTCTTAGAAAGGTAAGCCCAAAGTAATCTTTTTCAATCCAAATTTGTTTTTCTTTTTCTTTCTTTTTTTTTTTTTTGAGACGGAGTCTCACTGTGTCACCCAGGCTGGAGTGCAGTGGCGCGATCTCCGCTTGCTGCAAGCTCCGCCTCCCGGGTTTACGCCATTCTCCTGCCTCAGCCTCCGAGTAGCTGGGACTACAGGCGCCCACCACCACACCCGGCTAGTTTTTTGTATTTTTAGTAGAGACGGGGTTTCACCATGTTAGCCAGGATGGTCTCAATCTCCTGACCTCGTGATCCACCCGCCTCGGCCTCCCAAAGTGCTGGGATTACAGGCTTGAGCCACCGCGCCCGGCCCAAATTTGTTTTTCTAAGCAATTACTAATTAGGAATAAATGATAGAAGAGCAGAATAAGAGAACTTACCCCTTCTTTCTTGCCCTGCCAAAGCATTTTCCTTTTTTTCTCTTGTTCAGCAAATTTCATTGGATTCACAGCTGCTGGGTTATAGTAGCTAGGAACAGCTATTCCTGTCTCTGCCAAAGCTTTAGCTTGCAGGGCTGCCATCTGAGCTGCCATGGCTATCTGAGGTGTTACTTGTGTTCCTGATGCCAACAGGGCAGCAACATTGAGAACAGAACCTCCGGTAGCTGCAGCTGCTTGAAGATATAAAAGTGGTTTTTAAAACATAAACCTCCAAATTACATTAACAAACTATTTATAAAACACTATGAATGTGCAAAAAGGCAAGATTTTCACAAAATACAAGGAAATGACTGTGTATTAGCTCACAAGTAAGTTTTTAGCAAACACTTACTGTGGTTATCAATGGACATATTTCTGCATAAACCCTTGATATACATTAAAAACCATTGGCTCACGCCTGTAATCCCAGCACTTTGGGAGGCCAATGTGGGCGGATTACCTGAAGTTGAGAGTTCGAAACCAGCCTGACCAACATGGAGAAACCCCGTTTCTACCAAAAATACAAAATTAGCTGGGCGTGGTGGTACATGCCCATTATCCCAGCTACTCGGGAGGACGAGGCAGGAGAATCACTTGAATCCAAAAGGCGGAGGCTGTGGTGAGTCAAGATTGCACCATTGCACTCCAGCCTGGGCAACAAGAGTGAAACTCTGTTATCAAAACAAAACAAAAACCCATTTATTTACTTTGAGGACAGAGAATTCTGCAAATAGTAAGAAGGTATGATTTCGGTGGAAATGAACTAGTGTCTTTAAGGTATGATCACAAAAAAATAAAACCTTGTATTTTTTTAAATTTATGAAATCTTCTCACGGACATTTTGTTTGATGCTCACATCAAATACCTGAAAAACAGTATGCAGGTAAGGCTGGGCACAGTGGCTCACACCTGTAATCCCAGCACTTTAGGAGGCCAAGACAGGCGGATCACAAGGTCAGGAGTTTGAGATCAGCCTGGTCAACATAGTGAAACCCCATCTCTACTAAAAACTACAAAAAAATTAGCTGGGTGTGGTGGCAGGCGCCTACCATTCCCAGGTACTCAGGAGGCTGAGGCAGGAGAATCACTTGAGCCCCAGAGGTGGAGGCTGTAGTGAGCTAAGATCATGCCACTGCACTCCAGTACGGGCGACAGTATGAGCCTCCATCTCCAAAAAAAAAAAAAAAAAAAAAAAAGAACAGTATGCAGGTATTATGCTAAGGCCAAGTTGTTCAATAAAGCCCCGGTATTTCTTTTTTTTTTTTTTGAGACGGAGTCTCGCTCTGTCGCCCAGGCTGGAGTGCTGTGGCGCAATCTCGGCTCACTGCAAGCTCCGCCTCCCGGGTTCACGCCATTCTCCTGCCTCAGCCTCCCGAGTAGCTGGGACTACAGGCGCCCGCCACTGCGCCCGGCTAATTTTTTCTATTTTTAGTAGAGACGGGGTTTCACCATGGTCTCGATCTCCTGACCTTGTGATCCGCCCGCCTCGGCCTCCCAAAGTGCTGGGATTACAGGCGTGAGCCACCGCGCCCGGCCAAGCCCCGGTATTTCCACTGTGATTAAGGCAGTCCTCTGTAAACAAAGACACCTCTGATTACCTATTTTTGTCAGTCCAGAATATAACCTTAAAAAGTTCTAATTTACCAACATTATGGGAACCAGAGTTATGAAAGATTGTAATGATGTATTAAAAACAAAATGACTATTTGTAAACTTTTGGAGTTTCAAATAAGCGCTACTGTTTACCAGGAATGTAAACAACAACAAAAAACCATCTTCCAGATTAAATTTCATGCCAAATCAACAGTAAGCTCTTCGTCATAATTTTCTTTCCTTTGCTTTTTGCGAGACAGGGTCTCGCTCTGTCACCCAGGCTGGAGTGCAGTGGTGTGATCTTGGCTCACTGCAACCTCTACCTCCTGAGTTCGAGCCTCCTGAGTAGTTGGGACTATAGGCGCATGCAACCACGCCTGGCTAATTTTTGTATTTTTAGTAAAGACGGGGTTTCGCCACGTTCGCCAGGCTGGTCTTGAACTCCTGACCACCTGCCTTGGCCTCCCTAAGTGCTGGGATTACAGGAGTGAGTCACCGAGCCAGGCCTGATACTTTTCAAAATCTACCATGTTATGTCTAAAAACTTGATTTCTTGAAAGAGAAATACGTATTTCACATCAGTTCACTTTCTTGCACAAATTGCATTTCCAAAATGGTAAAAGATATCTGGGGCCGGGTGTGGTGGCTCATGCCTGTAATCCCAGCACTTCGGGAGGCCGAGACGGGCGATCACCATGGTCAAGAGATCGACACCATCCTGGTCCAACATGGTCTCTACTAAAACCCGTCTCTACTAAAAATACAAAAATTAGCCAGACGTGGTGGTGCGCACCTGTAGTCCCAGCTACACGGGAGGCTGAGGCGGGAGAATCACTTGAATCCAAAAGGCAGAGGCTGCAGTAAGCCGAGACCATGCCACTGCACTCCACCTCAGGCGATGGAGCGAGACTCCGTGTCAACAACAACAAAATCTGTTGTGATGACTACAGTGTTACATAAACAAAAATACTCATTACCAACTTATCAACAAAAATTATCCACATGGACCACATCAGAAACAAGCTACAAAACACTTAAGTGAGAAAACACTAAAATAAACTTTTACAGCGTACTGATGGGAAGTAGGAATCATAGGTGATTTTCTTCCTATTATTTTCTATATTTTTCAATTTTTCTACAGAAAGCACGTCAAACTTAGGCTGCGTGCAGTGGCTCATGTCTGCAATCCTAGCACTTTGGGAGGCTGAGGCAGGAGGATTGCTTAAGCCCGAGATCAACAATAGTCTGGGCAACACAGTGAAAGGTCCTCTCTACAAAAAGTAACTAAGAAAACAACTAGCCATGCATGGTGATGTGGGCCTGTAGTCCCAGCTACTTGGTAGGCTGAGGTGGGAGGATCACAGAATAACAGAGCAAATCCCTGTCTGAAAAACAAAAAAAACCTGAAAGAGCTCAAATCAAGATGACTAAAAAAGAATTAAAAAAAAAAAACAAACAAAATTACCTGCAGCTATTTCTTGTTGTTTTTGTTTTTCAACCATTTCCTTTTCTCGCTGCTCTTGTAATTTCTTTGCCCTTTCCAACCTGCAAAAATAATTTCAATAAATTTAAAATAACACAATATAAAACCATTATGTACATATCTCCCTATATGTGCATGTGCAGAGACAAGCCAATTTCCATAAAATTTTAAATTTTTAGCATCCCTCAGCTACTGATAACCCGTATGTGAAGAAAAAGCAATCATTCTTAAGATAGTATAAGTTACGTTTGAAGAACACAACAGTGATTTTAAACATTTTTGAATTGACTAGTCAGAAATGGGCATAGTTTTTATATGCAGTTCCAATTAACAAGTGAAAAAAAATTACATCTTGCAAGTAACATTGAAAGCTGAGTAAATTTTAGAGCATGGTAAGTAGTAAATAAATTTACAGAATTATCTAAATGTTTCTTGAGGGAGAACAAGCCAGCCAATCAAGACATTCAGATAATTTTTTATATTAAACAGCCCTTAGTGAAGTCTTCAATAATAAAAATCAAAAAGTCAAAACTAAAAGGTCAGGCAAATCTTGCCATTCTGTGTAATCTAATAAAATGGGAGGAAAACTTCTCTAAATTAGGAAATTACTTCTAGCAGTTGAAGAGATTTATCATTTGCAAAGGAAGTGGTAACGTGAAACACAAATTCAGCCCAAAACAAAATGAATTTTTTTTTTTTGAGACAGAGTCTCGCTCTGTCGCCCAGGCTGGAGTGCAAAGGCACGATCTTGGCTCACTGCAACCTCTGCCTCCCGGTTTCAAGCGATTCTCCTGCCTCAGCCTCTTGTGTAGCTGGGATGACAGGCGCGCACCACCATGCCCAGCTAATTTTTGTATTTTTAGTAGAGACGGGGTTTCACCAACGTTGGTCAGCCTGGTGTCAAACTCCTGACCTTGTGATCCGCCCGCCTCGACCTCCCAAAATGCTGGGATTACAGGCGTGAGCCACCGTGCACAGCCCAAAACTGAATTCTTGTTCATTCTATTCACTCTATTAAATGAGTAGTGTGCATACTCATTAAATTCGTTAACGAGAGTATGCACACTAAACAAGCTATATGTTAAGTTTACTCAAATATAGCAAATAACAAGTAACATTATCTTCACAACGAATTCCTGAAAGAGAAACTCTTTACTTCATAAGGATTCCCTGATTTATCAATCAAGCCAAATGCCACTAATGTACCCTCTGTAATGTGGTATAAAGGGGACGGGATTGAGGAAACTTGTTTTTGTTCTGGGGCACTATGGGTAATATAAGGCAGGGGTAGTAAATTGGATTTGCTTTAAGAATTGTTAAGTTGGCCGGGCACTGTGCCTCTCGCCTGTAATTCCAACACTGTGGGAGGCTGAGGTGGGTGGATCACCTGAGGTAAGGAGTTCGAGTCCAGCCTGGTTAACATGGTGAAATTCTGCATCTACTAAAAATACAAAAAATTAGCAGGGCGTGGTGGTGGGCGCCTGTAATCTCAGGTACTCGGGGGGCTGAGGCAGAGGTTGCAGTGAGCTGAGATCACACCACTACACTCCAGCCTGGGCAACAAGACTCCATCTCAAAAAAAAAGGAAAAAAAAAGTTGTTCAAATTTACATAAAATTTAACAAGCTATAAGCACATATGCATGGAAGGCATAGCATAGGCTTGATTTTGTCCTTGAGAATAAAAGTCTATAGGAGTTAACACTAAAATGTAGGCCACAGGCCGGGCAAGGTGGCTCATGCCTGTAATTCTACCACTTTGGGAGGCCAAGGTGGGAGGATTGCTTGAGGCCAGCAGTTTGAGACCAGCTTGGCTAACATGGCAAAACCCTTCTTTATTAAAAAGAAAACAAAAAAATTAGCTGGGTGTGGTGATGCGCATCACTAATCCCAGCTTCTTGGGAGGCTGAGGCACCAGAATTGCTTGAACCCAGAAGGCAGAAGTTGCAGTGAGCCGAGATCGCACAATTGCACTCCAGTCTGGGCAACATAACGAGAGACTCCGTCTCAAAAAAAAAAAAAAAAAAAAAAAAAAATTAATAAAATAAAAAATAAAAATAAAATTTAAAAGGTAGGTCACAGATCTGAAATCTATTTCCCAAACAATTTTAAATCCCGACATTTAAGACCAAAAAAGAAACCAATATAAAAGGTCTATACATGGTAGTTTCTTACTAACAAAAAAATTCTCCACATTTCAAGTTAGTAAATAATCTGATATTCTGAAATTAAAGGACTACATTTAAAACTTTATCTGAAAGATCACCAAATAGTCTACGTCAATGAAATGTTAGATGCTATTAACAGCTTCGCTTTAAAAAAATCCAAAAACGCAAACAGGTTAGACTTACGGCATTCAAGTAAATAACTTAAGGGCTTAAAAAATATTTGTCAGAGTTAATGAAATTACAATCCAGTATAAATTAAATCCGATTTTATAATAAATTATTTCCTAATCTACTGATACTAGTTTCAGAAAAACGATATGAGTGACTACAACTGGTTGCATTAAAATGTCCACTGAAGATTTGGAATTAATACCATTCACTAAGGTGAATGGAAAGAAGGGGTGAGCTCACACTTTTGCTGCTGTTCAGCTGCAGTTTCTGTCAGGCTGGGTTCCCAGGGCAGCACATCAGGTTACATTGTGTTACCAGCCTGGGCAACATAGGGAGACCCCGTCTTCTCTACAAAAAATACAAAAATTAGCCAGGCATGCCTGTGATCCCAGCTACTTGAGAGGCTGAGGTGGGAGGATTGCTCGGGCCCAGGAATTCAAGGATGCAGTAAGCCGTCATCATGTGCCACTGCACTCCAGCCTGGGCAGGACCCTGTCTCAAAAAACAAAACACCTTAATTATGTAAAGAGAGAAAAAAAATCAAAATCTACAAAGTCTATTTCTCAAAATACGGGAAATGCTGCAAACAAGTGTTTGGATTTCATTTTATTTTGCCTCTCTATGAGGCAGTTCTTTGAATAGTTTTGCAGATTTCAATATATAGCCGCGCTGTGTGTGGTTGCACCATTACTCATCTTTGAAACAGCAGAAAATGTGTGTGTGTGTGTCTTTTTTGAGACTGAGTCTTGCTCTATTGCCCAGGCTGGAGTGCAGTGGTGTGATCTTGGCTCACTGCAACCTCTGCCTCACGGGATCAAGCAATTCTTGTGCCTCAGCCTCCAGAGTAGCTGGGATTACAGGTACCCGCCACCATGCCCAGTTAATTTTTGTATTTTTAATAGAGACGGGGTTTCACCATGTTGGCCAGGCTGGTCTCCCAACTCCTGACCTCAAGTGATCCGCCCACTTCGGCCTACCAAAATGCTGGGATTACAGGCGTGACCCACTGCACCCAGCCGAAACAGCAGAAAATTAAAAAAAAAAAAAAAAAAAAAAAAAAAAAAAAAAAAAAAAAAAAAAAACAACAACCAACCAAAAACACAATGATCTCCCATAGTTATCAGGAATAAAACTTACAAGATCAAAGAAATTGGCTTATAATGTATTATCTGTTATTTGCCATCTTCAAAATAATAATATTGACAAAATTTTACTTACTGTTTCAGGTATTTTGTCTATTTGAGGGAGAAAAACAAAAAGTAAAGGAAAGTCATCTTAGATGAGAAAATAATAGTTCTTGAACCAGATTTAAGACTCAAAAAAAAGTTTCAAATGCAAACTGAAAATACTTGGGAGTCTAACTTTGAGAAAAATGAAATCAGTCAAATCACGAAGAAAAACACAGAAATTGTTGTAGACATCTCAATCTTTTAGTTGTGCAAATGTTTAAGATGAGAATTAAACTATTTACATAGTTCTAAATCACAAATATGCCACCATATTATTAAAGTATGCAAATCATTCTCTTACTGAAAGCATTCATCTTATCTACACAATTGAGCATTTATTTAAAGGTGAAGAGGAACAAATGAATTAAGAAATATACACACCTTCTAGCTAAAGCTTCTTGTGCATCCATTGCTGTGTTTCTGCCTCTGAAGGGAGGTGGACTTGGAGTCCGGCTTAAACTTCTGCTAAATCTTCTCGGCTTTTCAATTCGCTTCTTTCTATCTCTGTAGTAAATCATATTTCATATGTCAAATTATGGCCGAGTCATATTTTGTTAATAAGAAATCAATTATATTTACATAGTTCAACAAAAATTGCAACAATACAAAAATATTTACATTTTGAGATGCAAAAAATTTAAACTTCTCTGTTACAGCTGAACTCACTGGAAACAATTGTTTCCAACTCCGTCATCCCTTTTTAAGAGATAGGGTCTCACCATGCTGCCCAGCCTGGCCTCCGGTGATCCTCCTGCCTTAGCCTCCAGAATACACAGGTCTACAAGCATGCCCCACCGCATCTGGCTGTTTCCAATCTTTTGCAAAGTATATCCAATGTTGCAAAAGCTAGCCTTATACATTAGTCTTTTTGTGCTCGTGTAGGTCAATACGTACACCACAGGAATCATTCCTACATATTTTCATCTTAAGTGAATTTGTAGATATTTTTCAAAAATAAAAAGTTATTAACCACTAAAAACTAGATGTCTGGCTGGGTGCAGTGGCTCATGCCTATAATCCTAGAACTTTGGGAGGCTGAGGCGGGCGGATCACCTGAGGTCAGGAGTTCACGACCAGCCTGGTCAATATGGTGAAACCCCGTCTCCACAAAAACACAAAAATTAGCCATGCATGATGGCGGGTGCCTATAATCCCAGTTACCCGGGAGGCTGAGGCAGGAGAATCGCTTCAACCCAGGAGGCAGAGGTGGTAGTGAGCCAAGATTGTGCCACTGCACTCCAGCCTGGGCGAAAGAGTGAGACTCCGTCTCAAAACAAACAAAAAAACTAGACGTCAGTGACCAAAAAAGCACTTAAAAAAAAAATTTCTTAATTGGTAAGGTTCAAATTAGTAAACTACTACAAACTAGAACCAGAGTAAAAATTCATACTGATTTAATAAAGATCAAACAAGTGATAAATCATAAAAACAAGTTACTGTATTAAGCACAGGTCCCTTTTTAAATGTGTATTTCAATCTTTCATACATTGACCTAACTTGCAATTAACAAAATAGTATACTACTGTCTTATGAAACAAGCAGAGAATAATGCATTCGTTGAAGAACATTTATAATTAGTTTTCCTCCTGTGCTCTTTATTGTACACTTCCTATCTCAGCAAAGCCTCCTCCCACCAATCAAGATAATCTAAATTGTGTTCATTTACAAACAAAATCTGAGGTAGTTTGCACAATACAGTGGGTTAAGCACATGGATGAAATTTGCATTTAGATATATCTGAAACCTGGTCCTGGCTCTAGCACTTAATGATATTGTTTTGGAATTCTGGGGCAAATTTCTTAAATGTCTTTAAGCATGATAGACTTACCTTTCAACATGGTTCTTCTGAGAACTAGATGAGCTAACACAGGCAAAGAGTTCTAGCATATAGCAAAGTGTAAGTATACAAAATAGATTTCAGTTGTTTGTGAAAATAAATACAACGAATCCAGTGTTAAACACAACCGAATTTCTTTTGTTAAGACAGGATTCAATCCTGTCACCCAGGCTGGAGTGCAATAGCATCATCTTGGCTCATTGCAATCTCTGCCTTCTGGGCTCAAGCGATTATCCCACCCCAGCCTCCCAAGTAGCTGGGATAATAGGTGTGTGTCATCACGCCAGGCTAATTTTCATATCTTTTGTAGAGATGGGGTTTCACCATATTGCCCAGGCTGGTCTTCAACTCCTGGGCTCAAAAAATCTGCTCGTCTCGTTGGGATTACAGGTGTAAACTGCTACATCTAGCCAACAACTGGGTTTTAATAGGCCTACTCATACCTGCATTTCGCAAGAGATTTATCAACCACACGAGAATACTTGTGAATGCTATTCAAGTGGCTAGGTCTGTTCTTCATATGTTAGGTAAAGACTAAAATAATTTTACTATAATCTATAAATAAAATTGTGACCCACAATTTTAATATTCTCTTACTGAGAGAAGATAAATCGACTCTCTGAGGGTCCTATTAAATTTTATTCAGGATGATAGTCACCTACCGACTCCTACTCCTTGTCCTACTCCTGCTTCTAGTCCTATGCCTGTGTCTTGATCTTGAGCGGGAACGAGACCTGATCCGCCGTTTCCTTTCCCTGCTTCTGGATCTTGATTTCTTCCTCTCTCTGCTTCTGGATCGAGATTTCTTCCGCTCCCTACTCCTGGATCGAGACTTCTTCCGCTCTCTGCTTCTACTACGATGGCGCCTGAAATTAAAGTACACAAATTTGTAATTACTTAAGAGTTGTGCTGTTTCACTTATATCCATCATGAATTAGTTACCTGTAGTAACACAATTAAGACAAGCAAGTAACTGCACTATATTATTTACAGAAATGTGACGTTTTCAAAGGAAATAAACTAAAAATGAACCCTTCATTTTGTTTGATAATTTGTCCTAAACATAGTAAAGCTATTAACATGTCAAAAGTGTTCAATGCATCTTACCAAATTTAAGCTTCCATTTAATACTCTTCCCGCAGTAGTTACAAAGCTTAATACTTCAGTTTATCTACTGAAAATTTTAGTCTGATACCACACACACCCCACAGCATTCTCCAAAAAATACCCCACCAAAAACCATTCACAAATTTGAGCTGTGATCCAGTTTCTCAAAAATCTTTTTATCTATACTCCAACGTCAAAAAAATCTAGATTGCAGTCTAGCAGCAAACACCTTCTACATCACATCAATGATGCAAAAGGACTGTTTAGTGGCTTAAACCACACAGTTTAATAATATGATTTTTTCAGTGCCAGACAGATTAAGTGGTTAAAAATCTCAGCTGGACAGAGTGACTCACTCCTGAAATACCAGCACTTCAGGAGGCCAAGGCTGGCCGGCACATTGCTTGAGCCCAAGAATTCGAGAACAGCCTCCACAACATGGCCAAAACCCGGCTCTACAAAAAATACGAAGAGATTAGCTGGTTGTGGTGGCGCATGTCTGTGGTCTCAGCTGCTCAGGAGGCTGAGGTCGGATCACTTGAGCCCTGGAGGCCAAGAGGCTGCAGTGTGCTGAAAGCATACCACTGCACTCTAGTTAGGGCAACACAGAGACCATCTCAAAAAAGAAAATCTAGGCCGGGTGTGGTGGCTCACACCTGTAATCCCAGCCCTTTGGGAGGCTGAGGTGGGTGGATCACCTGAGGTCAGGAATTTGAGACCAGCCTGGCCAGCAGGGTGAAACCTCATCTCTACTAAAAATACAAAAACTAGCCAGGCATGGTAGCACATGCCTGTAATCCCAGCTACTTGGGAGGCTGAGACAGGAGAATTGCTTGAACCCAGGAGGCAGAGGTTGCAGTGAGCTGAGATCATGCCACTGCACTTCAGCCTGGGCAATACAGCGAGACTCCGTCTAAAAAAAAAAAAGAAAGAAATCTAGGTACTTAGTTGAGATTTAGTCATCCCTTATCCCCCATTTTTGGAAACCATTTTTTGCATGATGAGAAAGCAAAGCCCAAAGCCCAAAGGAAAACAACGACGACAACACCACAAACCCAAACAAACGAACAAGAAAAACTCCCTAATTACGAATTTTTTTTGGGTGTTGCTGGGTTGATGAGAAACTTTACGTAACTCAAATCTTGTTAGAAGATGCTAAATTATAATACAAAATGATTTACCTTTCACGAGACCTAGATCTTGAGTGACTTCTGCCTCTTGATGACTTTCTTTCTTTGCGTTTATGCCTGTCCTCACCATTTTCAGATGAATTTAGTCGCTCTCTTCCTTTATCAGAAGAATGTTCTTTGTCATTATGTTCCTCAGACTTGTGTTTCTTAGAGGATTTATCTTTGGATTCATGTCTTCTTGCCTGTTTTAAGAAGAAGTTGGTTCTTTCAGGAAAATAGTGCAACAAAGAGAGTTAGTATGGGTATCAGCAGACAAAAAATGTTGTGATGCAACATTAGTAACCTTAGGAGTGTGTGGCAAATAAAAAAAATGATCTAGTTTCACATCACCCAAATGTTGCAGATGTAATTACTAATTTTTTTTACTATAAACACCCAAAATGTAGTTCCTCCCCAAAATATTTTCAATACTACAATAGAAACAATGATTTTTAAAGTTGAAATATTGAAAAGTCATTATGCCAGACAAAAGAGGATTCCCTTATGTTTATCTAAAAGAATACAGACCACGTATATACATCAACTTCTAAATCCAGAGTACATAATATTAAGTAATGGAGATAATGACACAAAAAGTGCACCAGAAACGCATTTCAATTAGTATAATTATTACTAAGTACTAATTATTTTCTATAATTTCAAATTATTTTACACAGAGATGCAGTGTCCCTTTTATAGTTATACTGCCCGCTACATCCTCTAAAAGACAGCTCTTGATTTTCCTCCCAATGTCTAAACTGTGAAGGAATCACTTTTCATCTTGCAGTATCCCAATAGGCTTGGAGGAGTATTACATTTCATGTACCTAGGGTAGAAATGGCAACTGTATGTTTTAATTTTAAAGAAACCAAACTACGTATAACAATTAATCCACGTGCCACTACACAATACATACTGCCCCCATACTTTAAAAAGACCAAGGCCTTCACATGTGCATTCAGAGACTCAGCTAAAATTAACTGCATAATCAAGTCTCATCCTACCAAATACCAAAGTAGAAGTGCTACATACTACAGTTCCCTACAGGAAGATCTGTGAAATTCATCTGGTAGCTAAAGCTTAAAATCCTAGACATCTCTGAATCACTAAATTTTAAATCTGGAAGGAAACTCATACCCTCTAATTTAATCCCTTTATTTTATGTATAACTAAGATCTAAAGTTACAAAGCTACATGGATGAGTTGAACCTATCTATATCCCATGTTTTTCTGATGCCCAGGATACCACTCTTCCACCGTAATAAGACACTACTGTTTCCCAAAAGGCCATAGCATGTTTCTTTCCACTCACGATTAATGTTTCTTAAAAATAAAACTTGGCCAATCATTTTGGAACATGCATGATGATACAGCTGAAAATGATCATAGTATATAATTTATTATTTGTAGAAAAATAAGAGACCTGGAGACACAACTAAATTTTAGTTTCATTGCCAGTTCTCTATATGAGCTTAGAAAAGAAATTTTTCTTGGTTTTGCTATAAAGAGGCAGACTGGAAAAGTCTTAAGTGGTTAAACTTCTAAAGGTTTTAAAGTTTATTTCAAACCAGTTTTTCAAACATAACATTACTATTAATTTAAAAAAAAAAAAAAAAACATTAAAACCCTTAACTGATTTAAGATATATTTAAGGGAAATAGGAGTTTGAATGACTAATAGTTACCTTATCATGAAGTAGGCTTATTATTTTGCTATCTGAGTCTGCAGCGTCTTCAGTTCAGTCTCTTCGCGCATTAGCACGCTGAGTATGATTTATTATAGAAATGTTATCATGTGAGCTAAACAAAATAGTCATTTTCACAAAAACTCTCCTAAATTAAAAATTTAACAGAGCTTCCATTAGGGGAAGAGGTGAAGTCCCTGCCCACACTTGTTTTAGGAGTCCCTTGCCCAGCCCCCACAACTCTTCTTCCTTTCTGGCTAATACTTCTACTCTTCCTTATTGGCTCATTCCTGTCTTCTCAGGTGGGTGAACAAGTAACTCCTCTGCAATAGAGCTGTTGCCTTTCATTTTCCTCAAGTTTTGGTGTCACCGCCACCTTTTCAGCTGTCCCTCACTCAAACCTTTATTTCAAAATTCAATACTATTAGGGAAACTGAACTAGTTTGCAAAAGAAAAAACTCCTCTTATCATTCATAAAGAAAAAGCAGTCCACAGATATCTAGGGTATTGCTATGTAAAGATGATTGCTGTTTAAAAATCCTGAGCAACTCTCAGGCACCAGGAGACTCGGGACCTCGAATTAATGGAAGCTCTGTGTGACAGGCCTAAAAAAACCAATCATATTCTTCATATGAAATTTTTATTGTGAGTATTTTCACAATATAATAAAATTAAGGTTTTGAAGGTACTTTTCACATAAACATCTTCTTCAAAAATGATGAATAAAAGTCATGCTTATTTTATAACCCAATAAACCTTTTAAATTTCAAGTTTGGTACTTACCTTGACAAATGTCTTATATTCATACAAATCTTTCTACCAGACACTTTATAAGTATTTTAAAGTACCTATTCACTACAAAGTGTTAATTACCTCTTTGCTTCTGCTCCGGCTCCTGTGTTTTCTTCCTTCATTATCTGTGAATACACACAAAAATATTCACCATAAACAAAGTTGGAGAAACATCTCATCTCAAAAAACTCAACACTGGAGAGAAATGACTCTCATTAGTCTTCTTCCAATGACTAATTTTTTTATGGCACAGGTGGGATTATTCTACATTAATACAATACATATGTGAAACAAATCAAGAAATCTGAGCAAACCAGGATATAAAGCAGCTTAGATCCATCTTTTAAACAGTCATAGACTTTTAGTATTTTACATACATTCTGACCAGCCCATCTAGTTTCCTAGTCTATAGCAAATTCATAAGGGGGTTTAGTAGAGAGAGGTAAGCCATTAAGAAAAATAAAAACGAGGCCAGGCACGGTGGCTCCCGTCTGTAATCCCAGCACTTTGGGAGGTCGAGGCGGGCGGATCACGAGGTCAGGAAATTGAGACCATCCTGGCTAACACGGTGAAACCCCATCTCTACCAAAAATAAAAAAATTAGCCGGGCGCGGTGGCGGGCGCCTGTAGTCCCAGTTACTTGGGAGGCTGAGGCAGGAGAATGGCATGAACCCGGGAGGTGGAGCTTGTAGTGAGCCGAGATCCCGCCACTGCACTCCAGCCTAGGCGACTGAGCGAGACTCCGTCTCCAAAAAAATAAAAATAAAAACGAAAGAAAATAAACAGGTTGAATTATATTTGATATGTTCCAACATGGCAAAACCCTGTCTCTACTAAAAATACAAAAATTAGCTGGGCTTGGTGGCGCATGCCTGTAATCCCAGCTACTCAGGAGGCTGAGGCCGGAGAATTGCTTGAACCCAAGAGATGGAGGTTGCATTGGGCTGAGATTGTGTCAATTTTTGTATTTTTGCTCCCGGCCTCAGGTGATCTGCCTGCCTTGGCCTCCCAAAGTGCTGGGATTACAGGCTTGAGTCACTACGCCCGGCCAACAAACTAAACGTATGTCTTCTTATACAACAGGTCTACATATCTTATACAAATGCTCATATACGACCTCTAAGAATTCATACCTGACTTTCGTTTTCTTTCTCTTGACCTTGATCGTGATCTTGAATAATGATGTTTTGAAGCTCTAGGAGAAACAGATACATCTGACTGCTCTTTTTTCTTATCTCTATCTGGTGATGTCTTTTCTGGGGCTAGTCCATCTCGTTCTGTATCACTAGCCTAAAAGTTTAAAAACAAATGATTAAAGTTCTTAATTACATTTTAAATGTTTTCAATTTCTTAAAAGAGGGACAAAGGAAGGGAAGATAGTCCCAGTCCCCCCCATCAATAAATCAGAATGCCTGCTTTCCAAATAGCTAAATATGCTTTGTACACTAGCAAGCCTGAATGACTTGAAATGACGAACCTGATACTTAAGCGAGACCTACATATTTAGACTGATGTAGCTTTAGTTTTCTAACGATTATTTTTATAACTTTTAAAACATGGGGTGGAGTGAGGGAGGAATAAGGGCTCTAAGTATTTCCAATAAGCATTCAAGCAGAGAAAATACAGTCCTTTTTAGATGTGTGAATGCATTTAACTGACTTTACCAATACTTTTAAATTAGCATACACATCAAACATCAAAAGTGAGTTGTTAAAGCTTAAAGATACTCAAGACCATAAAATCTTAAAACAGAATGCCTTAAAAATATTATAAAATAATAAACAGAAAATTAACTTACCAAAGTGAGAACCTCATCTTAATGTCATAACCCTCTAATGAAAACAGCCCCTTGGCACAGTGCTGCTGCAAAATATGGTCTGCCTCTCCTCACATGTGCTCTGGGCTATGAAAACATTAAGTTGTTTCTGCTTTAAAGCATTTTGTAATTAATTATCACAATATAAATTTTACAAGTTTCAACTAATGCGGAAGGTAGACAATGGTTGGCTATCTGACCAGAGAAGATAATATGAAAATAAAATAATTGATACACCTGGGGAATTGATTACTTAGGAAGGGTTGGCAAGCTATGGTCCTCATCCTGTTTCTGTATGGCCTTGAGCTAGGAATGGTTTTTACATTTTTTTAAAAAGTAGTTTAGGCATATTTAATAACTTCAGTAAATAGCACTGTAAAGAGTGAACTGTTAAAACTAAAGACACTTAAAAGGCCAGTGCTGTGGCTCATGCCTGTAATCCTAGCATTTTGGGAGGTTGAGGTGGGCGGATAACCTGAGGTCATGAGTTTGAGACCAGCCTAGCCAACATGGTAAAACCCCGCTTCTACTAAAAACACAAAAATTAGCTGGTTTGGTGGGGTGTGCCTGTAATACCAGCTACTTAAGCGGTTGAGACAGGAAAATGGCTTGAACCCAGGAAGCAGAGGTTGAAGTGAGCTAAGATTGCACTACTGCCCCTCCAGCCTGGGAAAGAATGTGATAGAGACTGCACATGGCCCACAAAGCCAAAAATATTTACCATCCAGCCCTTTACAGAAACAGTTTATGGACTTTTCACAACATCAGAAGGAATCTGGATTGAATAAATAGGGAATCGATAGTCTTCAGCAGAAGGAATCACATTAGAGAACTTCCACCTTTAAGAAAATTAGTCCAGAAAATGAATACCAAATATCAAGTACAATGAATGGGTGTATTGTATTTTAACAAATGAAGTTGTGAGAGGTCGGGTTACTTCAACAAGTATTTACTGAGGGTCAAAAATGTGCCAAAACCAATGCTAGACTTAGGGAATAAAATAATACACTAAAAAAAGAAAGGTTTTACAGTTCAATTATGAGGTGAAAGACATAAATTACATGTTATTCCTCTAACAATGGTATAAAAAGAACAGTAAGAAATAAAAGAAAGTAACTACCAGGGAGGCTCTCATGCCAGCATATTGTATACGTACTTATTTCTCCAGTGTGGGTGACTTCTGGAACCACAAAATTTTTATGCCGAAAGGTTTTCATCCCTTATAATAATAGAGTTCAACTTTGTCGTTTCACAGATGAGATCCAGCAACATTAGCTGACTTGCTAAAATGATACTGCATCTCCATCTCTTTACTGTCTTTATTACTAATAAATGATGCTGTGTTATTAAGGACGATTCTGATTTTTCAAGTGAATAGCGGACACTTGGATTTTTTCCATCATTCTCCTTAAGGACTATTTCAGACTCATCTACTACTTGCTAAGTGTTTGTACAGCTTACACTTGGTAAACAGAAGGGATCTCAAAAATTTCAAGCACCGCTATCACTTCTCTCAGTGCATGACACTTTCTGTCAGAGACAGAATTCCTTAACTACTGGCAATCCCATTTACTTTTGCAGAGAACAAGACTAGAATCAAAAGCAACCTTTGCATGGAAAAGTTAGGCAATTTTCAGGCAACGGTTTATCTAACTTTAACTTTATGCTTAACATCACAAAGCTAGGCAACAGAGAAAACTCGCTGTGACACAGGCTAACCTAAACTTACATCAACCATTTTCATCTGTAAAACAGACTACGGAGCAACAACAAAAACTGTCTTAACACTAAACAGATAGGAATGACAGGTGGTCACCGAGGCCATGGAAAACTTTTATTTCCCTGAGGATATTTTATAGTAGCATAATGCAGGTATCCAGGAAAAAACCCACCAACAACTGAATATTAAAATTGCTCTGAAATTATCTAAGCTTTAATTTAGTACGAATCTATGTGTACACATAAACGTTAACTGCAAAACAGCCTTCTATTCCAGCACTGGCTCTACGAGGCAGCCACTTTGGTTTCTTACCATTTACGTGTTGTTGCAAACTCTAATAACGGCTCGAAACATAGTAGACAAATCTTTTTCCACTGCGGAGGAGGTAAGCACTGGATTGAATACTAGGCCACTTCTCTAGGGGATTGTCTTTTTATTGAACAAGGCACAGCAGAAGTACATGTTTGAATTCACTTTTTAAAATACTGGAACCCGGCCGGGCGCGGTGGCTCACGCCTGTAATCCCAGCACTTTGGGAGGCCGAGGCGGGTGGATCATCTGAGGTCAGGAGTTCGAGACCAGCCTGTCCGACATGGTGAAACTCCGTCTCTACTAAAAATACAAAAAAATCAGTCGGGTGTGGTGATGGGCACCTGTAACCCCAGCTACTTGGGAGGCTGAGGCAGGAGAATCGCTTGAACCCGGGAGGCGGATGTTGCAGTGAGCCAAGATCGCGCCACTGCACTCCAGCCTGGACAAGAGCAAAACTCCGTCTCAAAAAAACACACAAAAAAACCCTGCAACCCAAGAAAAATAGTATTACTCTTTAAGTATACCGAGGCCCAAAACACTAAACAAACGAAAACAGTAAGTAAAAACAACGAGTCTAAACTCAATCAATTAGATATTGGAGGGGTAGGGAGAGGAAGAAAATCATCTGCCTAATACCAGGCATTCCAATTATCGGGAAGAGCAAACTTTAAAATTATCACTACGTTTAAGAGTCATAATTATTACCGAAAATGATATAATTTTTTACTCAATAAAAAGGAATGCAAAATCTTTACATTTTCCTTTTAACGGAATAAAAATAAAGTATGCACAAAATAATGTGGATCCGTCAGAATTGGGCATCTTATACACACGCAGGCTTATTGTTCAGAATAGGTAATTTACGAACGGCAGCTTCTCTTGGGTCAACGAAGGGTTTAAATTTAAAGGAGCAAGGTCAGTGACAAGACTTAACTATAATTCTTCTCGGACTTCAAATTGATGACATCACGGGCCACTTCGGAAACCGCGCATCAGTCAGAATTGGTAGTTCCACAACCTTTTAAGCTGAATTTTCACTCCCTTTCAACAATACCTTCCTAGCTCGTTAATACACAATAATAAGGCTTACACTGACGAACACTAATTGAAATTATACAACTAGAAGCATCTCATTGAGCGTACAAAAAAAAAAATCGCTACGAGTTGCTCTCTTCTGCCACATTATCCTTTAACAGACACCGCCTTTTTGATCCAGTACTTTTCAGAGACCACTCCTGATCGTCTTTCTCTTTCCCAGCCCCTTTCTCCACTGCAAATTCTCAGGCCCTAAAAAAACTTAGTATAAATCACTAGCCAGGGTGAATAAGCGAAAATGGAGGAAGTTCAGCGGGGCAAAAGGAACGTAGGATTGGAGAAGAGAGGAGGAAAGTTCTGGAAAAAAAAGGCACTCCCTGCGGCTCCCCACCCCCATCAACACCGCCTTACTTCCCCCTCCCTACAGCAGGCAGCCATGATGGCGGGCGCAGAAGAAGGCCGCGGCGCCATTTTGTCCACACACACACACGAACAAGGCTCTGGGAGCCGTTCACCCACTCCTTGGAACGTCGTAGAAAAATATCCCTGGCGTTAAACTCAGATTCGGTACCTACCGCCATAGTTCAGAGTCCCGGCCGCTAGAGCGGCACCTCCACTTGTCGCTTTCAACAGTACCGGCCGCTCCGAAGCTTCGCCTCAGACTAAATCGCTCGCGCGAGAGACCCGGATGGCACAAAGGCGAGGAGGCCCGGCGCGTCGCACAGCTTGCTGGGAGTAAAAAGGGCGGTAACAAGAGTTTCTATAACAACGCAATTCGAGGCGGTGATTGGGTGTTCTTTCAAAGGGGCGTGTAAGGACCATGAAGAGGGTGGGGCCAAGAATACAGTCTAGGAATGCGCAGTCGGGGGAACAAAACTGGCGGAACGCAGGGTGGGGCAACGTCCTATTTCGAGTCTAAAGTAATCTTGGTCTCGTCCGGCCGCCGTAAAGGGGTTGGGTTTAGTGTTCTCCCGCCAATTTAAACCTGTGGGATGGAACCTAAAGATTAGAGCCGGTTGTGTGAGTCAGGAAGAGGGGCCGGATACTTGATTGTTTCTCTTTAGTTTCTTCAATTGCAGGTGAGGACGGGGAGTTGCGCTGTGTAGGGAACTGGGGGTGGGTTCAGGACGAAGTAACTGCAGCCTCTCCTCAGTTCCTGTTTTTCCCTTTAACGCTGTCAGGAGAGAGGTTGGAGTCGGTTTTTGCGGGCGGCGGTGTCCAGCGGAGAGCGTTTAAGTACGGAGGCCTAACTAACAAGTGTTTCATCTTGCTCATTCTCTCCTATTCGCGAATCTGTTCTGCATTCCGCCGCCAGAGTGATCTCAAAATTATCAAATCAGGCCACTCGTTTGCTGAGTTCCCCTCTACCCCTTGTACTGAGAATAAAATCCAATCTTGAAGTCGAGGTTTTTTGGGCTCCACTGCTCTCTCCCTCACTCTCTTCTACTTTTACTTTGACCCGGCATCAGCATCAAACGCTTCCTACCCAGCCTCTGAGCCTTTGCGCTCTGTTCCCTCTGCCTACGTCGTGTTCCGCCTGAGTTTTGCGGGCTTGACTTCTTGTTATTCAGGTCTCAGCTCAGATGTCACCTCCTTCCCTTCCCAAACAAATCCTCCTTCAGCGACGCCTCACCTCATCCATTTAATCACTGTTTCCTTCAAATCATTTAGCACTTTTTGCAATTATTTGTGCATTTGCTTTTTTTGTAGAGGTAGCGTAACAAGATGTGTATTAACTATTTTATTTTTGTCCGTTTTTCCCGCAAAAACATAAACTTCGTAATGGCAAAGACATTTTGTGCTTTGTTCAAGCTATACTGCCAGCTCCTACAAAGGTGCCTGGCACATAGTAAGTAGGTATTCAGTAAACATCTGTTGAACAAGTAAATGTGGCAGTTATGGGCGGTTTCTCTATTTCACAGATGTGGGAAATTGAGACCTATAAAGGTATTCATTCCAGCCTGTCCCTCCTTCATCTCCTCACTCCCACCCAAACACCAGTCACTAAAACTGTTCTCTATTCTCCAGACATGTTTTGTTTCTGTTCCCTTGCTTATGCTCTTAGGAAGAACTCTTTCAACATTTTTAAAACTATGATCTTCAATTCTCAGCCCAAGTGTTACCTGCTTCCACTAATAACAAATTAGCTAACACCTAAAATTGAATGTTTGCCATCAACCAAGCATTGTTCTGTGAACATTTAAAACTCAAAACATTGGGAGTCTGAAGCTGAAAGATTGCTTGAGCCCAGTAGATCAAGGCCAGCCAGGGCAAAATAGTGAGACCCTCGTTTCTCAAAAAACCAGAAGTAAAAAATAGAAAACTCCTTCAGGTGGGTACAACTACGTTAGTCCCTTGGTATTGGTATCCACAGGAGATTGGTTCCGGGACCTCCCACAGATACCAAAACCCTGGGATGCTTAAGTCCTTGTCATAAAATGGCATAGTATTTGCATGTAGCCTGGGAACATCTGCCTGTATACTTTAAATCATCTCTAGACTACTTATCTTGCCTAACAATGTAAATGCGCTATGCCTGTAGGTGGAATCTAGGGATGTGGAACGCATGGATATGGAGGGCCAACTATATGTATATATTTTTTCCAAGATGGAGTTTCACTCTTGTGGCCCAAGCTGGAGTGCAGTGGCACATCTCAACCTACTGCAACCTCCGCCTCCCGGGTTGAAGCAATTCTCCAGCCTTAGCCTCCTGAGTAGCTGGGATTACAGGCACACACCACTACGCCCAGCTAATTTTTTGCATTTTTAGTAGAGAGAGGGTTTCGTCATGTTGGCCAGGCTGGTCTCAAACTCCTGACCTCAGGTGATCCACCCACCTAAACCTCCCAAAGTTCTGGGATTACAGGCATGAGCCACCATGCCTGGCCTGTATATTCTTATTTTATAAATTAGAGAATTGAGGAACAGAAAGATTAAGTGATCACCCATGGACAACTGCCTAGTCATTGTGAAAGAACAAGTCAGAAATTGTTTCTTCCTTGTGCTATACCTTTTATAGATATTAAAACATACTTCTAGTAGCACTTATGAAACCAATTATAATTATTTGATTATCATTCCCTACCAATCTTGATCCAAGGATTGTTTTTCTCCTTAGTGTTCTTTTCCCACCCAGACTCCAAGTAATATGGTTTATGTAAACCTTTACTTTTAGAGATGGTTAAACCTCATAAGGTTTCAAGCTTCGTCTTTGGTCCAGAAACCTAATTCATTTTTTTCTCCTTCCCTAATCATTTTTATTTGTTGTATAATAATACTATGGTAGCATTAATGGACTTTTTCTGAACTTCATCTGGAATCTTATCCTATGATATCCCAGACAATCTGGCAATTAAACCTACACTGTTTGCTGCTATACTGATTAAAGGTTTATTTCTAATGAAAACTTGGTATAATTCCAAACTAGACACACAAAAGTAATGGAAGCTCTAGGATACATTGGTAAGATCAGAATTGTTGGTCTGTGTGCATAAACCAATATGTTCTCTGGTAACCATGATAGCTCTAGTTCCATTTATATTATTGGCCCAAAGTGTTTAGTGGCCACAGCAATAACAAGAAGACAAGGATGTCTGTATATGTTAATGTTAGACTTTTGTTTTTGTTTTGTGAGTAAGCTTTCTCATTTCCCAAGGAACTGGGTTCTATGCAACAAGATAATATGGTGTCTAATTTTATGTTGTTACAGGAAAGACAGTGGTTCCTGACTCAGGAAGACAGTCTCAGAAACATGTGGAATGATATTGAGCTGCTAACAAATGATGATACCGGAAGTGGGTACCTGAGTGTCGGTTCAAGAAAAGAACATGGAACTGCTTTATATCAAGTAGATATGCTAGTGAAGATCTCTTCTGAAAAGGTAGTGATTATTACACTGACTGTTTCATTCACAGAATTTTTACTGAGTGCTTAGTAGGCCTAGTGGCCCACAGTAAATATTTTGTGAATGAATATAGCACTTCCTCAAGGAATCAAGATTCAATCTCAGATTGCTAGAAATTCACATCTGAATACCCTCTGCATCATGTCAGGATCAGTATTTTCACGACTGAAGGATTCTTAGTTCCTCTTGATATTTCATGCAACTAAATATGTGTAAGTTAACACGAAGAGGAGTTTTTTTTTTTTTTTTTTTTTTTGAGACAGAGTCTTGCTCTGTCACCCAGGCTGGAGTGCAGTGGTATGATCACGGCTCACTGCGATCTCTGCCTCCCAAGATTCAAGTAATTCTCGTGCCTCAGCCCCTCGAGTAGCTGAGATTACAGATGTGCGCCACCATGCTCAACTAATTTTTTGTATTTTTGTAGAGATGGGATTTCACCATGTTGGCCAGGCTGGTCTTGAACTCCTGGCCTCAAGCAATCCACCCACCTCAGCCTCCCAAAGTGCTGGGATTACAGGTGTGAGCCACCGTGCCCGGCATACAAAGAATATCTACCACTAACGTAGGAAATAAAATGTTACCAATAGAGTTAAAAGCTCTGAGGGTCCATCCCTGAATCTGTGTTCCTCCTGTTCCCTACCAGACTCAAGCTCCCTGCTGAGTATGAGGTTTATCCCTGCATTTCTTTCTACATTTTAACTTTCTTCTGTTAGTAATTGCACCATTATTGCTCCATGCCTGAAACCTTATTCTTTGCCTTGCATAGAAGGTACTATTAGGTGGGTGTGGTGGCACGCACATGTAGTCCCAGCTACTTGGGAGGCTGGTATTTAATTCTTTTTTTAATTAAAAATTTTTTTATTTTTACTCAAATAGATTCTGACAGATAATTCTCTTAATAAGAAAAAAACCTAGAGCAAAAGACAGGGCATCCACTGGGGATGTTATTCCTAAACAGAATGAAATTTATGCTTTTGACTTTTTTTTTTAAACTGGCTGATGGGATTTAAAAAAGAAATCATTCTTTGTGCTGCTTTAAGCTTGTGTCTGTTGAACTGTGCTGCCTTTTTTTTTTTTTTTTTTTTTTTTTTTTTGAGACAGAGTCTCACACTGTTGCCTAGGCTGGAGTACAGTGGTGTGATCTGGGCTCGGCTCACTGCAACCTCTGCCTCCTGGGTTCAAAAAATTCTCCTGTCTCAATTTCCCAAGTAGCTGGGATTACACATGCCACCATGCTAAAAAAAATTTTTGTATTTTTAGTAGAGATAGCGTTGCCCAGGCTGGTCTTGAACTCCTGGCCTCAAGTGATCCACCTGCCTTGGCCTCTGAAAGTGCTGGGATAAAGGCATGAGCCATTGCTCCTGGGTTGTACTGCTTTTAATGTACCATGAATCATATTAAAGGCAGCATAGTCCAACAATAAGATAACTAATATAGGATAAACATTAATTATGAGTAGTACAAATAAATCTCATTGTATTTTTTGGCATTATTAGAGGCAAAAATTTAAAGTACAGCATAATTTTTAAAAATTTTTTGACTCCTTCGAGACATCTGAAAGCACAGTTTCTATGAGGAAATGACGTCTATTTTTTTAGTATTTTTGTTTGTTTGTTTGTTTGTTTGTTTGAGATGGAGTCTTGCTCTGTCGCCCAGGTTGGAGTGTGGTGGCGCAATCTCGGCTCACTGCAAGCTCTGCCTCCTGGGTTCACGCCATTCTCCTGCCTCAGCTGCCCGAGTAGCTGGGACTACAGGTGCCTGCCACCATGCCTGGCTAATCTTTGTATTTTTAGTAGAGACGGGGTTTCACCATGTTAGCCAGGATGGTCTCAA